CCAGCCAGTATAGGAAGAGACATTGTGTATTTTAGCTCACCAATATTTTAGCTCACCAGCCAGTATAGGAAGAGACATTAGATATTTTAGCTCACCAGCCAGTATAGGAAGAGACATTGTGTATTTTAGCTCACCAGTCAGTATAGGAAGAGACAGTGTGTATTTTAGCTCACCAGTCAGTATAGGAAGAGTCATTGTGTATTTTAGCTGACCAGTCAGTATAGGAAGAGACATTGTGTATTTTAGCTGACCAGTCAGTATAGGAAGAGTCATTGTGTATTTTAGCTCACCAGCCAGTATAGGAAGAGACATGGTGTATTTTAGCTCACCAGTCAGTATAGGAAGAGACATTGTGTATTTTAGCTGACCAGTCAGTATAGGAAGAGTCATTGTGTATTTTAGCACACCAGACAGTATAGGAAGAGACATTGTGTATTTTAGCTCACCAGTCTGTGTAGGAAGAGACATGGTGTATTTTAGCTCACCAGTCAGTATAGGAAGAGACATTGTGTATTTTAGCTGACCAGCCAGTATAGGAAGAGACATTGTGTATTTTAGCTCACCAGTCAGTATAGGAAGAGACATTGTGTATTTTAGCTGACCAGTCAGTATAGGAAGAGTCATTGTGTATTTTAGCTCACCAGCCAGTATAGGAAGAGACATTGTGTATTTTAGCTCACCAGTCAGTATAGGAAGAGACATTGTGTATTTTAGCTCACCAGCCAGTATAGGAAGAGACATTGTGTATTTTAGCTCACCAGCCAGTATAGGAAGAGACATTGTGTATTTTAGCTCACCAGTCAGTATAGGAAGAGTCATTGTGTATTTTAGCTGACCAGCCAGTATAGGAAGAGACATTGTGTATTTTAGCTCACCAGACAGTATAGGATGAGACACTGTGTATTTTAGCACACCAGCCAGTATAGGAAGAGACATTGTGTATTTTAGCTCACCAGTCAGTATAGGAAGAGTCATTGTGTATTTTAGCTGACCAGCCAGTATAGGAAGAGACATTGTGTATTTTAGCTGACCAGCCAGTATAGGAAGAGACATTGTGTATTTTAGCTGACCAGCCAGTATAGGAAGAGACATTGTGTATTTTAGCTGACCAGCCAGTATAGGAAGAGACATTGTGTATTTTAGCTGACCAGTCAGTATAGGAAGAGACATGGTGTATTTTAGCTGACCAGTCAGTATAGGAAGAGACATTGTGTATTTTAGCTGACCAACCAGTATAGGAAGAGACATTAGATATTTTAGCTAACCAGTCAGTTTAGGAAGAGACATTGTGTATTTTAGCTCACCAGCCAGTATAGGAAGAGACATTGTGTATTTTAGCTCACCAGCCAGTATAGGAAGAGACATTGTGTATTTTAGCTCACCAGTCAGTACAGGAAGAGACATTAGACATTTTAGCTCACCAGTCAGTTTAGGAAGAGACATGGTGTATTTTAGCTGACCAGCCAGTATAGGAAGAGACATTGTGTATTTTAGCTCACCAGTCAGTTTAGGAAGAGACATTGTGTATTTTAGCTGACCAGTCAGTTTAGGAAGAGACATTGTGTATTTTAGCTAACCAGTCAGTTTAGGAAGAGACATTGTGTATTTTAGCTGACCAGCCAGTATAGGACAGACCCTTAATGATGGGGATTAGCTGTGTCAACAACTGTTGCCGTGAATGTCATTGCCATTAATTCTAGACAAACATTCATTGGAGTTGTTTATACTAACAAAGCAGACTTTGCTAGACTGTAAATGTGGGGAAATACCATACAAGTTTACCTGGTCAGGCAGGTGTACAGGTAGGCAGACAATGTCCTATTGTTCTTGACTGCACTTTTCCTTGGTATTTGACATTTTTATATGGTTGGTATACCCACATGGGCAAATGGTATACAGATGTTGTACGATTTTTGCTGCTGTATGAATTTCTGAAAAAATAACACTTTCAATAATGCACCCAAATGGAAAAGTGTAAATCTATATATGATGTAATATATAGACACAGAGCACATAACCAAAGTTGTATTCGTATGTTAAAGTTGGTTTTTATGCAATATATTAGAGACACATGTCAACCATCACATTGTTTGTTTTTCTCTTCAAGGTTAACTCAACAGGTTTTGGAACAAATTCATGTAAGCAACAAGAAAAACATTTTCATCAACAATTGTTTTAATTCCATGCTTCAAGCTTCATTGATCTCTGCTGTCATCTTTAATAGGATGTACAGATGTATTATACCTAATATCTAAGGCAGAGAAATAGTCTGACTGACTCAGGGTAAATTACCACTGGTATCTAAGGTAGAGAAATATTCTGACACAGGGCACATTATCACTAATATCTGGGGTACAGAGAAATATTCTGACTGACTCAGGGTAAATTACTAATTATATCTGGGGTAGAGAAATATTCGGACAAAGGGCACATTATCACTTATATCTGGGGTACAGAGAAATATTCTGACTGACTCGGGGTTAATTACTACTTATATCTGGGGTAGAGAAATATTGTGACACAGGGCATATTACCACTAATATCTGAGGTAGAGAAATATCCTGACACAGGGCACATTACCACTAATATCTGGGGTAGAGAAATATCCTGACACAGGGCACATTATCACTAATATCTGGGGTAGAGAAATATCCTGACACAGGGCACATTACCACATATCTGGGGTAGAGAAATATCCTGACACAGGGCACATTACCATTAATATCTGGGGTAGAGAAATATCCTGACACAGGGTACATTACCACTAATATCTGGGGTAGAGAAATATCCTGACACAGGGCACATGACCACTAATATCTGGGGTAGAGAAATATCCTGACACAGGGTACATTACCACTAATATCTGGGGTAGAGAAATATCCTGACACAGGGCACATTACCACTAATATCTGGGGAAGAGAAATATTCTGACACAGGGCACTTTACCACTAATATCTGAGATAGAGAAATATCCTGACAAAGGGCATATTACCACTAATATCTGGGGTAGAGAAATATTCTGACACAGGGTACATTACCACTAATATCTTGGGTAGAGAAATATTGTGACACAGGGCACATTACCACTAATATCTGGGGTAGAGAAATAACCTGACACAGGGCACATTACCACTAATATCTGGGGTAGAGAAATATTCTGACACAGGGCACATTACCACTAATATCTGGGGTAGAGAAATATCCTGACACAGGGCACATTACCACTAACATCTGGGGTAGAGAAATATCCTGACACAAGGCACATTACCACTAACATCTGGGGTAGAGAAATATCCTGACACAAGGCACATTACCACTAATATCTGGGGTAGAGAAATATTCTGACACAGGGCACATTACCACTAATATCTGGGGTAGAGAAATATCCTGACACAAGGCACATTACCACTAACATCTGGGGTAGCGAAATATCCTGACACAAGGCACATTACCACTAATATCTGGGGTAGAGAAATATCCTGACACAGGGTACATTACCACTAATATCTGGGGTAGAGAAATATTCTGACACAGGGCACATTACCACTAATATCTGGGGTAGAGAAATATTCTGACACAGGGCACATTACCACTAATATCTGGGGTAGAGAAATATCCTGACACAGGGCACATTACCACTAATATCTGGGGTAGAGAAATATTCTGACACAGGGCACATTACCACTAACATCTGGGGTAGAGAAATATCCTGACACAAGGCACATTACCACTAATATCTGGGGTAGAGAAATATCCTGACACAGGGCACATTACCACTAATATCTGGGGTAGAGAAATATTCTGACACAAGGCACATTACCACTAACATCTGGGGTAGCGAAATATCCTGACACAAGGCACATTACCACTAATATCTGGGGTAGAGAAATATCCTGACACAGGGTACATTACCACTAACATCTGGGGTAGAGAAATATTCTGACTTATATAGGTGCATTATCTAAGGCTTTGTGATCGAGGTTTACTACCGGTGGCTGTCCTGATGTGTATTGTGGCCACAATCAGTCATATCAATCCTGCTACAGGACACCATTGTAATTACCAGGCCAGGCCATTGTGATAAAACACAGACAGCCAGATATAATCAGTGAATTCACTCAATTTAAAAGCCTTTATTGTAAGTTTTTTTCCAGTTGACTTGATTTCTATGGATTTGGTCTAGTTTTATATAAATCATGTATTATGAGGTAATTATGGTGATAAATTAACATAAATAGGGGTATTACTGAGGAGATTCACTCTGTTTAATCAGGGGTAAGTGAACTAGGGACGGAACTTAACTTTAAGAAATGAAGTGGCTAACATCAGACATAAAACAGTGTGATCCACCTCTACAACACATGTCAGATAAAGATTTTACCTGTCAACATTTACCTGTGATTTACTTTTTTTATCTATAATTTACTTCATCAATCTTTTTATCAAAATTCTTTTGTCAGTATTAAAATCTTCTTTCATCTCTTTCCATTCTAATGACACTGCCTTTGTAATGGGACATTGTTAATGGGGACTATGTTCATATCTCTGGTTCTATGACAGAATAATGGTACAATGGTTTATATCTCTGATTCTGTGACAGTATAATGGTACGTTGGTTTATATCTCTGATTCTGTGACAGTATAATGGTACAATGGTTTATATCTCTGATTCTGTGACAGTATAATGGTACGTTGGTTTATATCTCTGATTCTGTGACAGTATAATGGTACGTTGGTTTATATCTCTGATTCTGTGACAGTATAATGGTACAATGGTTTATATCTCTGATTCTGTGACAGTATAATGGTACAATGGTTTATATCTCTGATTCTGTGACAGTATATGTGTCCAGGTAAATTTTACTAGTAAATGTTATAGGTAAATATGACTTAGCATGAATCAGGCATGTTACCTGTGTTTGATATTTTGTTTTCATGCATTGTTTTCAAACCTTGAAATTAAACATGATAATTCATGCCTTTTGATCTTCTGATTCCAGATGCTGAATAACATCGCCAATGACCTTGATTTGCTTTTAGATGAAATGTGTGACCTTTACCCCTACCCTGAGACAACAAGCTGCAATACAAAGTTCCAGTCTTTTGTGTAAGTAAAGTTTTTTGTTGGTGCGATGTGAGGTGAACAGAAATAAGGTTCCACTGATATCTGGGTGTGTTAAGTTCCACTAATGTCTTGTGTGTTAAGTTCCACTAATGTCTTGTATGTTAAGTTCCACTAATGTCTTGTATGTTAAGTTCCTCTAATGTCTGGGTGTGTTAAGTTCCACTAATGTCTTGTATGTTAAGTTCCTCTAATGTCTGGGTGTGTTAAGTTCCACTAATGTCTTGTGTGTTAAGTTCCACTAATGTCTTGTGTGTTAAGTTCCACTAATGTCTTGTATGTTAAGTTCCACTAATGTCTTGTATGTTAAGTTCCTCTAATGTCTGGTATGTTAAGTTCCTCTAATGTCTGGGTGTGTTAAGTTCCACTGATGTCTGGATGTGTTAAGTTCCACTAATATCCAGATGTGTTAAGTTCCACTAATATCCAGATGTGTTAAGTTCCACTAATATCCAGATGTGTTAAGTTCCACTAATATCCAGATGTGTTAAGTTCCACTAATATCCAGATGTGTTAAGTTCCTCTATTGTCTGGATGTGTTAAGTTCCACTGATGTCCCGATGTGTTAAGTTCCACTGATGTCCGGATGTGTTATCTCCTGGGATATTATATCTTCTACACCTTTCTATAACAAAAGAGCATGTGTGATTTCTTCAGACATTGCACTATATATATGTCAATATATTTCACTACAAAAAAATAAAGAGTATGTAATATCAAATGAATTGTAATGCAAGATAAACTGGAAGTAGAGTTAAAGTAAACAGAATGCCTATATTTATAAAAGTACATTTATATCATCCACATGTAACTAAAGAAACCTGCACTCACCTCTTTAACTGTTTTTATGAGTGCTTTAAGTATTAATTTCAATTTGTGGTGACACCCAATACAAGTGATAGGCAAAGTTAGGTGTAGAGTGGCGGTCTTTGTGTACCTATGTAAGTATCATTTCAGGTCAACAGTCACTCGTCAATAAAACTAGATTATTGACGTGTTAGATGACAGATTTTATTGCTTTTGTCACGTTCTTCATCGTCTAGACAACCAGTCCTGCCTAAAACTTATAGCGTCAGTTCCTGTTCATAATCTCAATAACATGACTCCTGCTTGAAGTAGAGCAAGGGTTGTTTGAAGCTAAAGCATGATGGACAGAACCAAATTATTGTGGCTTAAAGGATCAAACAATATTGTATTTTATTTGGTACAATTTTAACTTTCTGTGGTAACTTGTTTTGTAGTTATATATAGGTGTGTCCATGCTACAACGTCCAGCTAGTTTTGATTCTATAATGATAGGGACAGTGAAATATGGAGATGAAGGGGAAATTACTTAATTCAGGATCTGAATTTATAAAGGGTAAATCTGTAATAATAGAATTTGATGATGGATCAGGCACAAGTATCTGGAATAATGAGATTTTGGAATGGAATATGAGAAGCAAATAACTCTGGAAGGTGAGATTCGGGGATGGAGTAGAGATTGGTAGCTGAGGACAGTGATGTTTGTGGATGGAGTAGAGATTGGTAGCTGAGGACAGTGATGTTAAGGGATGGAGTAGAGATTGGTAGCTCAGGACAGTGATGTTTGTGGATGGAGTAGAGATTGGTAGCTCAGGACAGTGATGTTTGGGGATGGAGTAGAGATTGGTAGCTGAGGACAGTGATGTTAAGGGATGGAGTGGAGATTGGTAGCTGAGGACAGTGATGTTAAGGGATGGAGTAGAGATTGGTAGCTGAGGACAGTGATGTTAAGGGATGGAATGGAGATTGGTAGCTGAGGACAGTGATGTTAAGGGATGGAGTGGAGATTGGTAGCTCAGGACAGTGATGTTTGGGGATGGAGTAGAGATTGGTAGCTCAGGACAGTGATGTTTGGGGATGGAGTAGAGATTGGTAGCTCAGGACAGTGATGTTAAGGGATGGAGTGGAGATTGGTAGCTCAGGACAGTGATGTTTGGGGATGGAGTAGAGACTGGTACCTCAGGACAGTGATGTTAAGGGATGGAGTGGAGACGTGTACCTTGTGACAATGATGTTTAGGGATGGAGTGGAGACAGGTACCTCAGGACAATGATGTTTAGGGATGGAGTAGAGATTGGTAGCTTAGGACAGTGATGTTAAGGGATGGAGTAGAGACTGGTACCACAAGACAGTGATGTTAAGGGATGGAGTAGAGACTGGTACCTCAGGACAGTGATGTTAAGGGATGGAGTAGAGATTGGTAGCTCAGGACAGTGATGTTAAGGGATGGAGTGGAGACTGGTAGCTCAGGACAGTGATGTTAAGGGATGGAGTGGAGACGGGTACCTTGGGACAATGATGTTTAGGGATTGAGTGGAGACAGGTACCTCAGGACAATTATGTGTAGGGATGGCTGACAGTATTTTTATTAGAGACACCTGTAGCTATGTTGTAAAATACTACATGTGGTATGCTGTGACTAATACTGCTATTATCTAGTGTTGTTATTGTTACTTAAACTACTGTGTGGGTCGTGTGTCAGAGGCCACCTCAGTGTTACTTAGGGTCAGCAACCAAAGCCTGAAGGCGGGACAAAACAGACTGGTAGACCAAGTTCTCACTATATCAAGACTGGCGTCAAACCGACCAGTTACAATCTACATGATAGTTGTATTATATTTTAAACAAATGAGAAAAATTTCATGGTAGATGGTATCAGTCTGCTGATAGTCAAGCAGAAATCTGATTTCAACTGGGAAACTGTGATCTATATATATGAAACTCTGATGTATGTCCAATGTATCACATTAGGTTTGTACTAGTGGAACTATAGAAATGACTCAGTAGAATTATACATGTATTCATTACCAATCAGAGGACACAAATATGTGACATGTGTGGAGGTATTGTACTATGTGACACTGGTATAGTCAACATAGCTCATTAATGGGGCTCAGCAGGCTGAAAACTCCCATATATAGTTCTACCTGTAAATAAATGTACCCATCGACCTACACAAATCTTTTAAACAGGAATAAAGAAGTTGCCAAAATATTGTTTATGGACTTATGTAGACTTATTCGCTGAGATGTGGGTACAGGATGTGTGTAGAATCAACCTGAGGTCATAATATCCTGTGTCTTCTTTGTTGACCTTAATAGGGAATATTTTCACAAGCTGTTTTTGTAATGAAGGCTGTGTGGGTCACCTCATATAACCATTAATCAGTCCTATGTATTAGTCTGTTGAAGCTTGGTGATGTACAGCCTACAATGATTATTTTACAGAATTTAATGTCAATTTGATTATAATTAAATTTTAGTTTATACAAAAACTGATTCGCTCTAATCAGCTAGCTTACTTGTATTGTGTATATGAGGAAAGGAAGTTATGTGTTGTTCTTGGAGTATGTTGTCAGTATGCTAATTAGTGTGTCTCACTTGTTTTGACCAATCAGCATTGTGCCCTAGAGGGGTGTCTGTATTGCTAGGCATTCAGTTTCAGCGGTTGGGGAGAAAGAGGATGCTTTTGCTTTTTATTACGTTGTAATATTCTATTACTTCCCAACTATTAATCAGTGTGTGCTAACCTTAAACCTATCACGACATTGTGATCTTCTTTTCTGCTGGGAGGTTACGAGCCTTCCTCGATTCGAAGGATTTGCTTGCTTCAGTGGCTTGGGAGTTTTATATTCCATACCCAAATTCCGCCCGATCGCCATTTTGTTTTACTTCGACTACACTTTCATCTGTCCTGAAGTGATTCGTCACGGATCATCTGTGCGGTTTGCATTTTATTAGAACATTGCACTTTCATGATGTGATTCTGTGATATAGGCGTTTGTAAAAGTCCACGTCTCAACTCAACAGTATACGTGTGTGATTTTCTGACGAAACTTCCGTGTCAGGGAGGTCGTAGTGAACGTCATAGTTGTGTGCGGCACTTGCTCATATCACTGAATTACTCGCTCATTTTTGGCTTATAAATTCTTGGGGAATTTTTTCCTCCAATCACTTCATATACTTAGTATCTTTAGAAGTTTAGTCAAGCTTCTCCAAGGACCTTATGTGAGTCAAGTCACTTCTCTGAACCATTACAGAGTCAAGGGTCTTCTCATTGGTTACCTTAGGAGTCAAATTTGTCTCATGTTTGATGGCAGGTACTCCGTATACACAGTATGTCACAGAGTCAAGTCACTTCTCTTTGAGCCGAGTCTCTTCAGAGTCAAGTACTTCTCTTATATGGAGTCTAGCCAATTGCCTTCTTCATTGTGCTTCTCTGATGTCACAGAGTCAAGCTCGTTAGTTTAGTTTTATTAGGTGATCACTACATATTCTTAGTTAGCTTTAGAAGTTAAGTCAAGCTTCTCCAAGGGTCTCCTCATTGGTTACCCAAGGAGTCAAGTTTGTCCTGTGTTTGAAGGCAGCTACTCCGTATACGTAATAAGTCACAGAGTCAAGTCACTTCTCTTTGAGCCGAGTCTCTTCAAAGTCAAGTACTTCTCTTATATGGAGTCTAGCCGATTGCCTTCTTTACTGTACTGCTCTGATGTCACAGAGTCCAGCTTGTTATCTTATTTTATTAGGTGCTTATGAGTGAGTTGCCCCTGTTTGCGCCAAAAAATTATGTTTTCCATGTACATATAACAACATGTTTACAATCATCAATAAATCGTTAACTTCAGTCATCCTTGAGTGTTTTTGTATAAATTTGAGTTGGACATCTAAATGCATTAGATAAACAGATTACTGAGCAAATATTTGTTTATATTTGAATGAAATAAATTCCTAGTGTAATCTAGTATTTCCTGCAGTATATCTAACCATTGATTATGGATGTATACTGTCAGCTATGGTTTAAAAGACAATCAATTTAAATTGAAGACCTTGTTAAAATATTATACTTGTTTAACAATTGTTCAGGTTTATTTCTCTTAATATGTGTAAAAAGGTGGTGGTCTTTTTCCATGAAACTTATTGTAAAGTGTTGTTTACAGGCAGACACAACAGACATACACAGAGAGCAGCCCTGGGCGCGGGGAGGACAGCGCCTTCGGAACATTGGCGTCAACAGACAGTTACTCCAGTGAGCAGAAGACACAAAGTGATTCTCTCAAATCTGCTCATCTGGATGTGTTTGGTCTCAACAACAAGGTACATCCCTCTAGAAAGTTTGGGGGTGGGGTTGGGGTGGGGGTTGTTTTTTGGTGGGAAGGCAGGAGATTAGAAGGAGGGGAAAGGGTGCCTTTTTTGTATTTCATTATGAATTTCAGTACTATCCTATAGGAATGGTTGTTCTTGACATACATATAACAATGATAATGTAAATTGGTAATAAGGTCTGTCAAGGAGGGATGTTACAGTGTCAGGACAACAGTGGGTATCCATACTATGTCCTCAGTGATGTTACAGTGTCAGGTCAACAGTGGGTATCCTTACTATGTCCTCAGTGATGTTACAGTGTCAGGACAACAGTGGGTATCCTTACTATGTCCTCAGTGATGTTATAGTGTCAGGTCAACAGTATCCTTACTATGTCCTCAGTGATGTTATAGTGTCAGGTCAACAGTATCCTTACTATGTCCTCAGTGATGTTATAGTGTCAGGTCAACAGTATCCTTACTATGTCCTCAGTGATGTTATAGTGTCAGGTCAACAGTATCCTTACTATGTCCTCAGTGGTGTTACAGTGTCAGGACAACAGTGGGTATCCCTGATAAATCTCTTGACACATTTTTTCATTTTACAATTGTTTAACAAAGTATCACAATGTAATGACACAGGGAGATGAGTCAATGAAAACTCTTCAGAATCAGACCATTTACATTGGCGACAGGAAATAGGGAAAAGTCCAGGTCTAGGGTGTGTGTGTGAGTATTTTATTAGCTATGCTTGACACCATGGTAGGAGCTTGGATACACGCTTTTCTTGGTGTGGCTGAAATTAGAATTCATCTATATATGTGTTCTTAGAACCATTCAGATATATGTATTTTTAAATCCATTTAGACACATGTATTTTTGTGTAAGACTTAGGACTTTGTTCTTTTGATTGATATTGCTGACTTGATTAATATAACTAATTGAATTAGATAACCTTGCATGATGAACATACTAATTGTGATCATTAATTGCAGGGTTTGGAGATCCCTGCCTATCCAGAGAAGACCCAAACGTCCGAAAGTGACTCATGTGGATCAGAGGGGCGCAGCATTTCCTTTGTGGAACGCTTAACAAAGACATTTGCAATATGGTATCTACCAGATGTGGGACGGTCAGGAGCAATCCACTTATTAAAAGACCGCGATCCAGGGGTAAGGGAGAATCTTATGATGTGACTTTGGCACAAGCTCATTTTAGTTTTTGAACTATAATTCTGAGGTCTGACATCTACGATAATGTTTATTTCCTTACTTCAGAACTTCATCCTGAGGAAGTCGAGCCAGCCTGAAACCCTGGCCTTGAGTGTACAGTTCCCTGACAAGGGTGTGCCCAATGTCGACCACTACCTAATCATGTCCATGGAGGATGGTTTACAACTACAGGGCTCACATCATCACTTCTGTAATGTACCCAATCTGCTTGCCTTCTATCACCAAAACATGTAAGCAGTTTTAATGGAAATCACAAAGTCAAGATCTATCTATAACTCTGTCTGTTTGTCTGTCTGTGTAAAATCTCTGTGAAAAATGAGGCTATTTAGCAATGGTTGATGGAAAGTACTTACCTGACCTGTTAATATTTAAGATAATTATCTATTTTACTAAATTAACTATTTTATTAAATTTCTGAACAATGAGGATACTTGAATTATCTACTGGTTGGGGAGAGGGTGGTAGGATTATCTATCTACTGATAATGATGGTGTCTTGATTATCTACTGATAATGAGTATGTCTTGATTATCTACTGATAATGATGGTATCTTAACTATCTACTGATAATGAGTATGTCTTGATTATCTACTGATAATGATGGTATCTTAACTATCTACTGATAATGAGGTTATCTTAATTATCTACTGATAATGATGGTATCTTAACTATCTACTGATAATGAGGTCTTAATTATCTGATAATGATGGTATCTTAACTATCTACTGATAATGAGGTTATCTTAATTATCTACTGATAATGATGGTATCTTAACTATCTACTGATAATGATGGTATCTTGATTATCTACTGATAATGATGGTATCTTAACTATCTACTGATAATGATGGTATCTTAATGATAATGATATCTACTGATAATGATGGTATCTTAACTATCTACTGATAATGATGGTATCTTGATTATCTACTGATAATGATGGTATCTTAACTATCTACTGATAATGATGGTATCTTGATCTGATAATGATATCTTACTATCTACTGATAATGAGGGTATCTTAATAATATCTACTGATAATGATAATGGTATCTTGATTATCTTCTGATAATGATGGTATCTTAACTATCTACTGATAATGAGGTTATCTTAATTATCTACTGATAATGATGGTATCTTGATTATCTACTGATAATGATGGTATCTTAATTATCTACTGATAATGATGGTATCTTATTATCTACTGATAATGATGGTATCTTAACTATCTACTGATAATGATGGTATCTTGATTATCTACTGATAATGATGGTATCTTAACTATCTACTGATAATGATGGTATCTTGATTATCTACTGATAATGATGGTATCTTGATTATCTACTGATAATGATGGTATCTTAACTATCTACTGATAATGATGGTATCTTGATTATCTACTGATAATGATGGTATCTTGATTATCTACTGATAATGATGGTATCTTGATTATCTACTGATAATGATGGTATCTTGATTATCTACTGATAATGATGGTATCTTGATTATCTACTGATAATGATGGTATCTTAACTATCTACTGATAATGAGGGTATCTTAACTATCTACTGATAATGATGGTATCTTAACTATCTACTGATAATGAGTATGTCTTGATTATCTACTGATAATGATGGTATCTTGATTATCTACTGATAATGATGGTATCTTAACTATCTACTGATAATGATGGTATCTTGATTATCTACTGATAATGATGGTATCTTAACTATCTACTGATAATGATGGTATCTTAACTATCTACTGATAATGATGGTATCTTGACTATCTACTGATAATGATGGTATCTTAACTATCTACTGATAATGATGGTATCTTAACTATCTACTGATAATGAGGGTATCTTAACTATCTACTGATAATGAGGGTATCTTGATTATCTACTGATAATGAGGGTATCTTAACTCTCTACTGATAATGAGGGTATCTTAACTATCTACTGATAATGAGGGTATCTTGATTATCTACTGATAATGATGGTATCTTAACTATCTACTGATAATGAGGGTGTCATGATTATCTACTGATAATAAAGGTGTCTAGATTATCTGTTGAAAAGAAGCTTGTATATTAAGGATTTTGGTCTCTGACTTCAACTTTGTTGTTTGTTATAGGGAGGAGCTTCCCCATGTGTTGACATTACCTCCCACCATCATGCGGGCTCGAACTCTTCAGGAACTCAATTCACTCTCCTATCTTGGACAAGGTATACTACACTTCTACAAGATAAAGTATTATGTGTAAAAGATTATTGATTCTACTACAAAACTTAGGATTTATTTCAGTTCAGAATACTAAAACCCAAGTTGATTTTATCACAAAGAACTGAACAGCTACTGTAACAATGCTCAATTCACTTTTAGGAAAACATTGGAAATATTCAAACTTACATTCCATTCAACTTTTGTGCTCCGCTCCGAAAATGAAATATAATGAAAAAGGTTGAAATTCTTACCCACAACTTTTGACCAAATCTTACTGAGACTTTTGAATTGACTCCTCCATTTTGGCCATGTCATTGGTTGTTGCTAGGTCAGTTGTCATGGCCACGCCACTTGATGTAGCCATGTATGGCTATGTGGTATATTGAGGTCTTGTTCATTTCTTTGGAAATGGAAATCATTTCCACTTAAACGCTTTTTTTCAGCAGAAATTTGTTTATGTTAAAAGAAGATAAATTCTGCCTCATGCTGTTATTATAATCTTGTTCATATTCAAATGGATTTAAGTTATTTTAGATCACTGAATACTTTACTGGTTTTTCTGTCTGCAGATTTCTGGACATCATACAGATTTGACAAGGGCTCCAATGCCAGCCTACATGATGAGTATGGGACCAGGGTACATACCACGCTGCTCCATAAGTCAACCAGTGAACCAATCAACATCCAGGGAACTTTTGTGGGTCCTGAGGCCTCCGGTCATGTGGGCCTGCGACCCCACACAGCCCAATCACTACAGCACTTTCCCAGGGCACACCGCCGTAATTCACGTACTGTCTCTAGTCAATCTAGTGGGAGTTCACGTGAATATCTGAGTGACAATAGGTGTTCCCGTTCTGACCATTCAGGTCCTGACAAGATTTCCTCAGGCCCCCACAGGCTGTCCAATATCAGTCACGACAGGAGTTCTTCAGATCTTGACCGGAACTCCTCAGATCTAGGCTCACAGATGGGAGCAGTGATTCACGAACGATCTTCATCAGGCCAAAGTAACATGGCCCCAATGGGACAGTCATGTGACACAACTCATAGTGATAATGAGAGAACACCATCATCTGAGAGGATATTTCCTGTGAATAGTCGACCGTTACGTGAAGACTCCCCGTCAGGGTCTAGTCTAACAGACAGTGGCAAAGTGTGTGATCGGTGTGGGGGTAGTAGTCGCTCTCTTACACCCCACACACCGGGTAGTTCCTCCTCCCTCAACTCCATAGACTATAATTACAGGGAAGAGTCACCAATGTCACACACACATCCTAAACCCACACCACGTAAGTCAAATCTGTACTGTACCACCTCTCTAGATCTACTACAACTTCCCGAGAATCAGTATTTCAAAAGTAATTTGTCAGATAAAATGAGTGACTATGAAGATATTTGGAAGAACTCTACAGCCCCTACTCCAGTGCCATCAGTAAAATGTTCAGTTATTAATACTCCTGTGAATTCTGTGAAAGGATCAGAACCCAATACTCCAGTGCCATGTGTCTCCATACAGACAGACACAAAGTTCCATCAGACAGACAATCTCAACAATGCTTCAGTGCATGTACAGAAGCCACAGAATAGTCACAAAAATGTGTGCAATTTGTCACAGAATGACCTTGATGGGGGCAATAGTACAGGTGTTATTGGCTCTAATGTTGCCAAGATCATGCCTAAACGTCGCATGCTTCGTGCTGTCAGTCTTGATGAGTCCAGTAAACAGAACAATATTGCTGTGCCCATTCAGGTAGACTTTGGGGGATTTCGGGCAAGGTCTGAACAAGTGATAGACCGACCAAAGACTTCTGTTCAGACACAGACATCTCCCATGCCCAAGTACAAACCTCCATCACTGCATCTTCATAGCAACAATAGTGCGGCTTCATCTGTTACATCAGGTGTCAAAAGTCCAGTATATGCTGAACCTTTTGATGCTTTAGATCCTGGTCTCATACCAGACCAAAAAGAGGCACCAAGGGTACGACGTAGGTCAGCACCATCTATGGGTGCAAATATGCAATCGCTAAAAGTGTTAGGCATATCTCACAATCCAAAATTAGAAACAATTTTCTCCCCTCGCAATGATGAAGAAGATACATCAAGCTTTACCTTTAATCAAACCGGTGCTAATAAACTCGCAATCAATCCTGCCGTGTATAAACTGCCACCTAGTGGTGGTAAACAGAACAATAAAAAGGGGAAGCGACAAAAGAAAAGTATGTCAAATTTATCTGTGTTGAGTAGAGATAATATGGATGAGGTTGTGAAAAAACTAGAAACCATTCAATATGATGACCAAAGTGTTTGTACTGGTGACACAGGGAAACGGAAAAACGTGCTGCCAGAAATGATGATGGACGGTATAGTGTATGACCCAGAAGAGCAGGTCTCTAACACTCTTAGGAAATTCCCAGTGTATCAAAAACAAGTATCTGTGCGCTCCTGTCAGTCAGAATACTCTACTATGGAGGATATCATTTCTAATGAGAATCCCTCTTTGACTGTAAAGCCAATTCCTGTGATGCCAATGAAAAACTATCATCGTGTTCTTTCAGAGTATGACAATCTGACAAATCAGTATGCCCCACCTTCTGCACGCTCAACTGCTAGCACTGGCACAGAGTTCTGTAGACCGTGGGGAAATGACTTCTTTGAATCCCTCCTTATAAAAACTAATAATCCCAAAATGGTTCCACCGATGGATGTGAATGAACGTATTCAGGCATGGCGAACTCAAAGTCAGAAATTCCGTCCTGTGTCAAGTGTGAGGGACAGTGTGATCTCTAGTTCTACGTTACTGGAAGAGGATGAGTCTGTCTGTGATATGCCCCAGCCTGCTGTGATACAACCTCCACCACTTCCTGATGTACCATGTCCTAGTCACAGCAGGGAGCGCCACCTGGCCCCAGGCAGTGGGAACAAGAAGGCAAGGGAGGGTCTGGACGGAGATGACCAATCAGTGGTATCTGCGACCACTAACACATTCCATAATGTCACACAGACTTCTAAAGGTAAGACAGCAGATGTATACCACCCTTAGAACTATATATACATAACAATATGGAAAACCATTTACTCTTCGGCACACCTTAAGTGATTTCAATATTCTGGAAGGTATGTGTATCTGTGCAGACTATTTGCAAAAGCGATTCTGATTACCGAAATGTTCTGGCTCACTTTTCATATCACCTGTGACAGTCAGGTGTTCTTATCAAGCACCATGATAAAGCTGTATATTGTAAAGGATTCCATACCTAATAACAATACTAATGTTTACAGCACGCACTGCAGCTAAGAAACCTCCTAAATCTGAAAGTCAACACCCTGAAACACGGATACGACATTACATCACAAAGTAAGTGTTGGCTCTTTTTCTGTATTTAGGTGCTTAATAGTTGTTAATTCTTCAATATTGTTCGCCGTCTGTTTTTTCGTAGTTAATGATTTTTATGAATCTCTTAACAGTGAAATCTTACCTTTCATTGATCCAATTTGAAGTTAATACCTACGTCTTGATCAAAGTCATCAATATTTACTTGATCAGTCACACTCTTGAATTATAATGGTATGTTAACAAATCATTGGGGGTTCATACTATGAATATGATTACATTTATATAGAAGTAAGATTGATAACATGAGTATATATCTTTGTATCAGAACTGATAGCATATATATTACTTACTGGAAGGCCGTGAAACATCATCCTAATTCTTTATTGAATTTCTTGTGAAATTGTTGTGTTTTATAAATTATTATCATTATTTTTAACTAGGTGCATTTAAACAAAAAAAATCTGAGACTTGCTTAATAAATATCCTTTGAAATGAAATATCATGTAAGTGTAGTGTAGTGTAAGTGTATTTGTATGTTGTCACTACAGGTTATCAGAGAACAAGGGCACAACGTTTGGGAGTACAATAGTCAACTTTATACAGTGTACCAAAGAAAGTCCAGAAACCAACCCAGGAATTGTCACCAGAAATGTAGGTGTTATAGCTTAACCTGGAACAACAATAACTCTAGCAATTCCAAAAGTGTGATACCAAGATTTGGATTCACATAGGAATAGAAAACAAATGGAATATAAAAAAGATCACTGAAAATTATTTTCTTACATGCTTCGGTTGTTTCAGATTTTAAAAAGGAATGAATCGACATTTAATGAAAATTATGTAAAACAATGATTTTAATATTTACAATGATTACTGTGTATAATGTTATTTGCCAACCTGATGATAATCATATTTGTCTGCTACAGGTACGTCAGTTTATGACTGGTATCAGGAATTACCTTGTTAAACATGAGCTGGAGGATGTAATAGAGAAAGAGCGGACACGGGTAAGTTCTCGGTGATTGTACAACATTAACAAATCAGTGGGTAAAGAGGCAGGAAAGATACCAGGATAGAACCTATGTCTACCCTTAAATTGATTAAAATCACCTTAAATTAATAAACTCTTAATTGGACTTCAATAGTAGATAAACAATTACTGCTTCCCCATCAGTACTATATAAGTTTGTACTCTATGGATTTTCACCTTATCCAGTGCTTGCTTCAAATTTTCTGTGTGAATACTTCCTGGGAAAGTTTATTCTCCAAAGGCTTCTATATCCAGAGTTACGACCCTTTGTATTGGGTGATCACTCTGTTTGGGGTATATACCTTGAACATTAGTACACCAACATGAATGATATATATTTTGGTATGGCTGAGTCATTGGGTAGCTTGATTTGGATTATGAATGGTAATGGGGAACTCAGGTTGCATAGGACGTGTATGTGAATCATCATTAAAACTGAATTTTGTTTTAACAGTTGCAGTCTGATGAAATCCTGAATGTGGATGCTATTATAGAGCGAGCTCTCCATGTGTGTGTACTGCAGCCCCTCAAACACCATATCTACCAATTGTTTGTCAACGAGTATACCAGGTAAGAAAGGTGACATGGTTGATAGCTCTTCAGCTCCATCAGTGACAACACCAGGTAAGATAGGTGACATGGTTGGTAGATCTTCAGCTCCGTCAGTGACAACACCAGGTAAGATAGGTGACATGGTTGGTAGCCCTTCAGCTCCGTCAGTGACAACACCAGGTAAGAAAGGTGACATGGTTGGTAGATATCTTCAGCTCCATCAGTGACAACACCAGGTAAGATAGGTGACATGGTTGGTAGATCTTCAGCTCCATCAGTGACAACACCAGGTAAGAAAGGTAACATGGTTGGTAGATCTTCAGCTCCATCAGTGACAACACCAGGTAAGAAAGGTGACATGGTTGATAGCCCTTCAGCTCCATCAGTGACAACACCAGGTAAGAAAGGTGACATGGTTGGTAGATCTTCAGCTCCATCAGTGAAAACACCAGGTAAGAAAGGTGACATGGTTGATAGCCCTTCAGCTCCATCAGTGACAACACCAGGTAAGAAAGGTGACATGGTTGATAGCCCTTCAGCTCCATCAGTGACAACACCAGGTAAGAAAGGTGACATGGTTGGTATCTCTTCAGCTCCATCAGTGACAACACCAGGTAAGATAGGTGACATGGTTGGTAGTTCTTCAGCTCCATCAGTGACAACACCAGGTAAGATAGGTGACATGGTTGATAGCCCTTCAGCTCCGTCAGTGACAACACCAGGTAAGAAAGGTGACATGGTTGGTAGATCTTCAGCCCCATCAGTGACATCACCAGGTAAGATAGGTGACATGGTTGGTAGCCCTTCAGCTCCATCAGTGACAACACCAGGTAAGAAAGGTGACATGGTTGGTAGATATCTTCAGCTCCATCAGTGACATCACCAGGTAAGAAAGGTGACATGGTTGGTAGATATCTTCAGCTCCATCAGTGACATCACCAGGTAAGAAAGGTGACATGGTTGGTAGATATCTTCAGCTCCATCAGTGACAACACCAGGTAAGATAGGTGACATGGTTGGTAGTTCTTCAGCTCCATCAGTGACAACACCAGGTAAGATAGGTGACATCAATGACACTTTGAATTATTATTAGTAACTGGTTCAAATCCACTTTGGGATTTAATCAAGCTCAGACATAATGCTCAAGTGACTTATCATCAGTATTGTGTTATTTACTGAATAATTACGATATGTATGTTATACTTAAATTGAACCTATACAGGATATAACTTTCTGAAATTATCTTTGAAGGAACGGTGTCACAATAATCAATGAATTTATATACTTCCAGAAATGGCAGTGTGAAGAATCTTTCTGAAAACATCCGCTATGCCAGAACAAAGACTCCAGAAGAGATTGGCTTGAGGGTAAGAATTACCTTTATTTTGAATCATTTCAAGACTGCTGGTAGAATTGTTCACTGTGTGTAACATGAAATATACCAAATAAGGAAATTGTATGCGTACTTTAACCTGTTTCAGTCTGGAATCTCTCCCCCAGACAGTACTGTGATGGAATCAATCAAACAATATCTTAACAAGATGCAGAAGGCGTACTCCCCTCTCAAGAAACTGGAATATCTTCTTGGTGCGACTTCCCTCATCTATCAGTGTGTAAGTCAAGAGTTAAATCATTAAATACCCTTCTTCGTGGCAGTGGTCAACAACCTCTGTTAGAGAACTCTGGACCACCTGTCTGTCCATTTGTCTTTCAGTCACTTTATCATTGACTGATTCTCCACTCTGTCACTTCACAGTTTTATGTGTGAATGACAAGTATAATGACTGAATTAAGTCCTTATCAAGTTATGTCCTTTAGTTTGTAGTAGGTCACTTTTCTCTGGTGCATATTCTCTATACATTTTTAATTCCAGTTAATAATAATCTCAGCATGGATGTCATTCCTAAATTACTTTTCTTCTATTTTATACCAAGTTATAGTTTTCTGATAGATTTTCAGAATAAACATTTGTTATGAGGACCAGGATACTGGCTTACTCCTAAGCAATGGCCTTGTTCTCTCTTTTAAGTGACTTTTAGTTGTCTTCAGCGTTTTCTCATTTTCCATTGTTACAGACAAACAAGCCAGAACATGCCAGGCCAGGACCTGTCCCAATGGGGGCAGATGGTAAGTCTCTCTCACTGCTTTATCAGTTCAGAACATGCCAGGCCAGTCTCTCTCACTCCATATCTGTCTACAGAGGATTTTCATTGGTCTGCATCAATGCCAAATTTCAGGAAATGGGTGTAAATTCACGAAAGTAGTTGAATAGTTTTACAAAAAGTGTATAATAAAGATGTCCAAGATTATTCATGTTGACGTCGTTTAATTGATTCCTTCACAAAAAATCTATTTTGTTATTGCAGATTTCTTGCCAATGATGATCTATGTACTGGTGCATTGTGGGTTTGTGACTGCAGAGATAGAATCTGACTATATCTGGGGCCTCATTCATCCATCTCTACTTAATGGAGAGGGTGGCTACTACCTCACCTCTCTCAGTAGTGCAGTACTCGTCCTCAAAAAGTTCCGTGACATGCAGGAAACACAGACAACACAACATGAGGTATTGACAGATAGAGAAACATTAAAAATGTAAAGACATCTATAGAATTATCAAATAAAGGAGGTTTGTTTTTCCTAACAACCTGCTGGAGAAGTGATTACAATATTTTATGATAGTTTCGGATTTTTGAGCTTTGCTTTTGAATTCCTTAAAACTCATCTAAATTTGATAGGTTATTGTGCTGTTACTCTGTAAGGAATAGTTTGATTGTGCTGTTACTCTGTATGGAATAGTTTGATAGATAATTGAATTGATTTCACCATTTTGGATACAGAGATGTTTATTATATCACTGTCAATGTCCTACCACTTTGATATATAAGTATGTTGATGACTGTATTTCCTGTGATCCAGGGCCACCTGCCTGGTATAGAAGACATACAAGGTTTCCTCAAGATTGCCATTCCTGATGAACTCAGAGACAGCATTATCTGGAAAACTCTTCCTGTCCGACCAAAGATGCACACAAAGGATGTCTGTAAGTAATAATGTAGACAACTGTCAAATTCTGAATACAGAAGACTGTTGGACTTTAGATGTAGATTCTGTATGACTTTAGATGTAGACTGTTGGACTTTAGATGTAGACTGTTGAACTTTAGATGTAGACTGTTGAACTTTAGATGTAGACTGTTGAACTTTAGATGTAGACTGTTGAACTTTAGATGTAGACTGTTGAACTTTAGATGTAGACTGTTGAACTTTAGATGTAGATTGTTGGACTTTAGATGTATACTGTTGGACTTTAGATGTAGACTGTTGAACTTTAGATGTAGACTGTTAGATGTAGACTGTTGAACTTTAGATGTAGACTGTTGAACTTTAGATGTAGACTGTTGAACTTTAGATGTAGACTGTTGAACTTTAGATGTAGACTGTTGAACTTTAGATGTAGACTGTTGAACTTTAGATGTAGATTGTTGGACTTTAGATGTATACTGTTGGACTTCAGATGTAGACTGTTGGACTTTAGATGTAGACTGTTAGATGTAGACTTTTGAACTTTAGATGTAGATTGTTGAACTTTAGATGTAGATTGTTGAACTTTATATGTAGACTGTTGAACTTTAGATGTAGATTGTTGAACTTTAGATGTATACTGTTGGACTTCAGATGTAGACTGTTGGACTTTAGATGTAGACTGTTGAACTTTAGATGTAGACTGTTGAACTTTAGATGTAGATTGTTGAACTTTATATGTAGACTGTTGAACTTTAGATGTAGATTGTTGGACTTTAGATGTAGACTGTTGAACTTTATATGTAGACTGTTGAACTTTAGATGTAGACTGTTGAACTTTAGATGTAGACTGTTGAACTTTATATGTAGACTGTTGAACTTTAGATGTAGACTGTTGGACTTTAGATGTAGACTGTTGAACTTTAGATGTAGACTGTTGAACTTTAGATGTAGATTGTTGGACTTTAGATGTATACTGTTGGACTTCAGATGTAGACTGTTGGACTTTAGATGTAGACTGTTAGATGTAGATTTTTGAACTTTAGATGTAGATTGTTGAACTTTAGATGTAGATTGTTGAACTTTAGATGTAGATTGTTGAACTTTAGATGTAGACTGTTGAACTTTAAATGTAGACTGTTGGACTTTAGATGTAGACTGTTGAACTTTAAATGTAGACTGTTGGACTTTAGATGTAGACTGTTGAACTTTAGATGTAGACTGTTGAACTTTAAATGTAGACTGTTGAACTTTAGATGTAGACTGTTGAACTTTAAATGTAGACTGTTGAACTTTAGATGTAGACTGTTGAACTTTAGATGTAGATTGTTGAACTTTATATGTAGACTGTTGAACTTTAGATGTAGATTGTTGAACTTTAGATGTAGATTGTTGAACTTTAGATGTAGACTGTTGAACTTTAAATGTAGACTGTTGGACTTTAGATGTAGACTGTTGAACTTTAGATGTAGACTGTTGAACTTTAAATGTAGACTGTTGAACTTTAGATGTAGACTGTTGGACTTTAAATGTAGACTGTTGAACTTTAAATGTAGACTGTTGGACTTTAGATGTAGACTGTTGAACTTTAAATGTAGACTGTTGGACTTTAGATGTAGACTGTTGAACTTTAGATGTAGATTGTTGGACTTTAGATGTAGACTGTTGAACTTTAGATGTAGATTGTGTTGCACTCTTCAGAAGACTTTGTTTAACTTAAGATGTAGACTCTGTTGAACACTTCAACAGACTGTTCTAATTTCTTAGAATTTGATGTACCATTAAATGTCTAAGGAGACTAATTAGTTCTCACATTATTTACAGGTACTCTGATAGCCCACAAATTTAAGGTGACCAATCCTCAGGACTATGGACTCTACATACTCATCAAAGGAGAAGGTAAGTGGAGGTTAAATCTCCTGGAATATATTTGACTTCATCCTGTTTGGTATTTAAATACATTTGTTGAAAGAAAAATTAAAATGTGACATGTGTTTTACAGAGAGAAGATTACAGGATGCTGAAATCCCGCAGGATCTGAAAACAGAACTCATGAACAATAAGAAGAATTGTGTATTTGCCTACAAACGTACTGCAGCTAATATAGCTTGGCCAATGTCATTACAGAAATAAGTGGCTGTGGAGTTTCCCTACAGAAATAAGTGGCTGGGGAGTTTCCCTACAGAAATAAGTGGCTGTGGAGTTTACCTACAGAAATAAGTGGCTGTGGAGTTTACCTACAGAAATAAGTGGCTGGGGAGTTTCCCTACAGAAATAAGTGGCTGGGGAGTTTCCCTACAGAAATAAGTGGCTGTGGAGTTTACCTACAGAAATAAGTGGCTGGGGAGTTTACCTACAGAAATAAGTGGCTGGGGAGTTTCCCTACAGAAATAAGTGGCTGGGGAGTTTCCCTACAGAAATAAGTGGCTGGGGAGTTTCCCTACAGAAATAAGTGGCTGGGGAGTTTCCCTACAGAAATAAGTGGCTGGGGAGTTTACCTACAGAAATAAGTGGCTGGGGAGTTTCCCTACAGAAATAAGTGGCTGGGGAGTTTACCTACAGAAATAAGTGGCTGTGGAGTTTACCTACAGAAATAAGTGGCTGGGGAGTTTCCCTACAGAAATAAGTGGCTGGGGAGTTTACCTACAGAAATAAGTGGCTGTGGAGTTTACCTACAGAAATAAGTGACTTGGTAACATCCATACAGATATAAGTGTAAGGAGGACATCCCTACAAAAATGAATGATTTTTGTTTTTGTGGGATGTCCATACACAAATGAGTGATAGCAAGATATCCCCACAGAAATGAGAGGTCAGAGGATGACCATACATTGACCAAAGGGTGTCCAGACAGTGACCAGAGGATGTCCAGACAGAAATGAGAAGCCAGAGGATGTCCAGACAGAAATGAAAGGCCAGAGGATGTCCAGACAGATATGAGTGACCAGAGGATGTCCAGACAGAAATGCCTGGTAATACAGTGGTGCAAGGTCCTAGGGTCCCATGTATAAGCCTTTAAGATATTGGTCAGACAAGACTGAAAGTAGATCATATGGTCTCATGGAGTATATTTGTTTTCTCTTTAAGTTTAAAATAATGGTGCTACAAACATGAATGTTAATCCATCGAAGGATGGGGTATGGTGAAATGACTTTGGCTCAATTATTTTTTAAGTTCTTGTAAATTAATAGCAAACAATTTACTAGGTACCTCACCATCATCAGATGGAATGATTCATCTGTAGGACCAGTCTAAAATAGGAATGGTTGATTGGTGTTACATCTAGGTACTAGTCTAATACGGAGCCTGCTCATGTTTAGCTGTTACATGATTGATGATAATTTTATAAGAATTTCTTTTACTTTTGTTACTCTCTACAATCTGTATTTATATACTAGGTTGTTTCCCTGGTCATTTTTTGTTTTTAGATGAATGCTAAAACTTTTTGGGAAAATGATTGGGCCATCTTCATCGTTTGTCGTACCATCTCCTTCAGTGTCATACATCAGCAAATAGTTTTTCACTCTGATTGTGTAGTTATTCATATTAAAATGTCCTATATCTGAAGTTGATATATTTACACATACCTACAAATTCAGCATTTGTACAGAAGGGGTTAAGTACTGATGGTATGTAAAATAGCCAGTCTTATTCAATCTTAACGACATAATATTTTATCCGACATTTTAGCTATTACTTGCAGTTGTCTGTGCTTTAGCAACGTTTTTAAAATCATCGCTACCAAATCCATGACAATTGTAAGACAAATTCTGATGCTTTTAATCCTCCCTTTTTTATACAGATCCTGTTATACAGTCGATCTGTGCTAGATTTTTCTTCTGTGAAATCCGTTTTAACCCTACAACTGTGGCAGCTTTCCAACAATATTTTAACAGATTTTTATCTAATGTTGGTTGACTTTAATGTAATAATCAAAACATGGCTGACAGCTTTGATATTTTGAGTGTCTGAGGTGTTAACTTTTGGATCAAAATATTTTTGTAATTTTCATAAATTTATGACAGAAACTTTTTATATGAACCAATAATACTGGGTGAGAAGTTTGTCACAGTACTGATGATGATTGGTAGGAGAGAAAAGATGTCAGATCATAAAGAGCTAACAATCAATTAGGAAAAAAGTGTCACATTATTGACAACTTGATGTAGGTCAGAGGTCAAAGAAAAAAAATGCTAGTATGTCAGATTACTGAGAACTGATTTGTCTGTAGGAGATAACATTGTATGTCAGATTACTGAGAACAGATTTGTCTGTAGGAGATAACATTGTATGTCAGGTAACTGAGAACTGATTTGTCTGTAGGAGATAACATTGTATGTCAGATTACTGAGAACAGATTTGTCTGTAGGAGATGTCAGGTAACTGAGAACTGATTTGTCTGTAGGAGATAACATTGTATGTCAGATTACTGAGAACAGATTTGTCTGTAGGAGATAACAGTGTATGTCAAGTTACTGAGAACTGATTTGTCTGTAGGAGATAACATTGTATGTCAAGTTACTGAGAACTGATTTGTCTGTAGGAGATAACATTGTATGTCAAGTTACTGAGAACTGATTTGTCTGTAGGAGATAACAGTGTATGTCAGGTTACTGAGAACTGATTTGTCTGTAGGAGATAACGTATGTCAGGTTACTGAGAACTGATTTGTCTGTAGGAGATAACATTGTATGTCAGGTTACTGAGAACGGATTTGTCTGTAGGAGATAACATTGTATGTCAAGTTACTGAGAACTGATTTGTCTGTAGGAGATAACATTGTATGTCAGATTACTGAGAACAGATTTGTCTGTAGGAGATAACATTGTATGTCAGGTAACTGAGAACTGATTTGTCTGTAGGAGATAACATTGTATGTCAGGTTACTGAGAACGGATTTGTCTGTAGGAGATAACATTGTATGTCAGGTTACTGAGAACTTTGTCTGTAGGAGATAACGTATGTCAGGTTACTGAGAACTGATTTGTCTGTAGGAGATAACATTGTATGTCGGGTAACTGAGAACGGATTTGTCTGTAGGAGATAACATTGTATGTCAAGTTACTGAGAACTGATTTGTCTGTAGGAGATAACAGTGTATGTCAGGTTACTGAGAACTGATTTGTCTGTAGGAGATAACTGTATGTCAGATTACTGAGAACAGATTTGTCTGTAGGAGATAACATTGTATGTCAGGTAACTGAGAACTGATTTGTCTGTAGGAGATAACATTGTATGTCAAGTTACTGAGAACTGATTTGTCTGTAGGAGATAACAGTGTATGTCAGGTTACTGAGAACTGATTTGTCTGTAGGAGATAACAGTGTATGTCAGGTTACTGAGAACTGATTTGTCTGTAGGAGATAGCGTTGTATGTCAGGTTACTGAGAACTGATTTGTCTGTAGGAGATAACAGTGTATGTCAGGTAACTGAGAACTGATTTGTCTGTAGGAGATAACATTGTATGTCAGGTTACTGAGAACTGATTTGTCTGTAGGAGATAACATTGTATGTCAGGTAACTGAGAACTGATTTGTCTGTAGGAGATAACATTGTATGTCAAGTTACTGAGAACTGATTTGTCTGTAGGAGATAACAGTGTATGTCAGGTTACTGAGAACTGATTTGTCTGTAGGAGATAACGTATGTCAGGTTGTATGTCAGGTTACTGACAACTGATTTGTCTGTAGGAGATAGCGTTGTATGTCAGATTACTGAGAACAGATTTGTCTGTAGGAGATAACGTATGTCAGGTTACTGAGAACTGATTTGTCTGTAGGAGATAGCGTTGTATGTCAGGTTACTGACAACTGATTTGTCTGTAGGAGATAGCGTTGTATGTCAGATTACTGAGAACAGATTTGTCTGTAGGAGATAACGTATGTCAGGTTACTGAGAACTAATTTGTCTGTAGGAGATAACGTATGTCAGGTTACTGAGAACTGATTTGTCTGTAGGAGATAACAGTGTATGTCAGGTTACTGAGAACGGATTTGTCTGTAGGAGATAACATTGTATGTCAGGTTACTGAGAACGGATTTGTCTGTAGGAGATAACGTATGTCAGGTTACTGAGAACGGATTTGTCTGTAGGAGATAACATTGTATGTCAGGTTACTGAGAACTGATTTGTCTGTAGGAGATAGCGTTGTATGTCAGGTTACTGACAACTGATTTGTCTGTAGGAGATAGCGTTGTATGTCAGGTTACTGACAACTGATTTGTCTGTAGGAGATAACAGTGTATGTCAGGTTACTGAGAACGGATTTGTCTGTAGGAGATAACATTGTATGTCAGGTTACTGAGAACGGATTTGTCTGTAGGAGATAACGTATGTCAGGTTACTGAGAACGGATTTGTCTGTAGGAGATAACATTGTATGTCAGGTTACTGAGAACTGATTTGTCTGTAGGAGATAACAGTGTATGTCAGGTTACTGAGAACAGATTTGTCTGTAGGAGATAACATTGTATGTCAGGTTACTGACAACTGATTTGTCTGTAGGAGATAACGTTGTATGTCAGGTTACTGACAACTGATTTGTCTGTAGGAGATAGCGTTGTATGTCAGGTTACTGACAACTGATTTGTCTGTAGGAGATAGCGTTGTATGTCAGATTACTGAGAATGGATTTGTCTGTAGGAGATAACATTTTATGTCAGATTATTGAGACCTAATTGTCAGTAGAAAATGTTTGTTTTTTGACACCTGGCTACAAATGGGGCAACTCCTGGAAACTTCTTTTTTCTATATTAAAACTTTAACATATTTGTAACAAAAAGGTTGTGATTGGAAAACTTGTGTCCTTGCATGCAAGTTAGGGTAACTAGGGTAAATTTTGAAAATCTAGCAGTCAAGTTAGGTGACAGGGGTGACAATCCAAGGTTTTCAATAGGACCTTGTTCTGGAGACAAGCACAGATACACTGTTAAACTGACAGTAAAGTGTTGTATTTTCTTTTTTACTTTGTGGTTTTATCAGTTGGAATTTCTTCAACAGATAGTTGACTACTGAAATCCTTGTCATTACATTTTAAAATGAAAACATCTTATTTATTAAATCTGTTATTTGTTAAAGATTGTGCTTTGGTTTTATATTGTTTGTTAAACTGAGGTAATGTCCCGTACATTAATCAATGTTGTCGTGACTCTCACCACATTTGGTTTTATGTTGTTTATTACACCGAGTTAATGTACCGTATAGAAGCATAAATTAATGTCGACATGTCTCTCAACACATTTGCATTTCCTTATTTCATAAGGGTTTTAAGTAACAAATAGCTTGGACTGTTAAACATTTTAATATTTTAGAAAATGGATTATGGATTCTGCAGACACTGGCAGACAGTTGGAAGAAATGAAATACATACAGATACTGTTATTGGGAGAAAATGTTAGTGAGACTAGCAGAGATTTTTACCGATAATGTTGGCAGTGCTGTCAGATGTGTACATATTAACTGTGCCATGTTAATTGTTGTAACCCAAGTGCCATAATATCACTCAATCAAATACAGGGGAAAAGGTTTAATTTTCAATGACTTGTTCCATTTTTGTTGATCCAAATAGTTCACCTTTAAAAGGTTTATTTGGTTCTCAGCAATTATAACATGACTGAGATATTAAGTACTTTTACTGTAATCAGCATATTCCCGGGTATTTACAGCTATTGACTCCTAGCTGTTATTTGTACATGTGTACATGATGTCTTACAGATTCTAGTTATGGTGGTATTCACAGCTGTGCCATTTTATGTTATTGAGTTTGTTAGGATCTGTAACCTATATTCAGGTCCCCTCTCCCTTAATGTTTGTGTTGTACTGTTGATCAAAGCCTGGTTGGAGATGTTGTACAGCTTTAAGTTACAACAGCATATGTAAACTGTTACATAATTATGTTATTTTACAATCAATACTTTCATGACGAAATAAAAAAATGTTAATGAATTACTTATCTTGTTTTTGTAGTACATTGGTAATTTCCAATCAGTTGATTGGAAAGCTACCTCCCATTGCAGAAGAAAATTTGGAATCCTATTTTTTCTGTCAGTAGGTTATCTGTCCTTGGTTAAGTTATGTGGACAAACTGGTTTGTCAGCACTGTTGACATATTTCAGACATAAAATCGGGATGGAAATGCAAACATTAATTAAAAGCTTTGAAAAGCTTGGTCAATGCTCAACAGAAATAAAATATGATTCTCTGTCAATACTTTTTTTTTCATAAACAACTCTGGTGCTACTGCTAAATGAAAACTCTGACAGCATTGGCCAGTGGACTTGATGGCACCATCTCTGATCGGACACTTTTTCAACACCAACAAATAAATTACATTTACCTAGCATTATCTCATGCACTAAATGTGCTGCTATCCTCTTAACAGATTTTCATTCTATTTCCAAATATGGGATCTTAACATTAAGTTCTATTTCTACTTAGAAATTGGTGGTCATCAGTCGAAGGGCATGGAAGAATTTTTCAGGAAGAATACCTAATTTCCTGATGGTAGGGTGGGAGGGAGGGTCACTTTGTTTATATCATTTACATTTTAATTTGCTCTCTGCTTTACCAAAGGCTAGTCATTTTATGATGTTTTTGGTTTGCAACTGAATTCATCTTTATATGATAGATAACTTTCGACAGGTTTACTCTCATCTCCTTGTGTTAAGGTGTGTGGGATGTAAATATGTCTTCCACAACTGCTTATCCACAAAGAGTGTTTGTGACCTTGACATTGGGTATCACGGGTTGTCTTAAGTCCAAGCAAACTCACTGACACAGGCAAGACATAGGAAACCCACAGACACAGGCAAGACACAGCAAACCTACTGACAAAGGCAAGACATAGGAAACCCACTGACACAGGCAAGGCATTGGAAACCCACTGACACAGGCAAGACACAACAAACCCACCGACACGGCAAGACACTGCAAACTCACTGACACAGGCAAGACATAGGAAACCCACTGAAAAAGGCAAGACATAGGAAACCCACTGACATAGGCAAGACATAGGAAACCTACTGACACAGGCAAGATATAGGAAACCTACTGACACAGGCAAGACATATGAAACCCACTGACACAGGCCAGACATAGGAAACCCACTAACACAGGCAAGACACAGCAAACCCACTGACACAGGCAAGACATAGGGAACCCACTGACACAGGCAAGACATAAGGAACCCACTGACACAGGCAAGACACAGCAAACCTACTGACACAGGCAAGACATAGGAAACCCACTGACACAGGCAAGACATAGGAAACCTACTGACACAGGCTAGACATAAGAAATCTACTGACATAGGCTAGACATTGGAAACCTACTGACACAGGCAAGACATTGGAAACCTACTGACACAGGCTAGACATGGGAAACCTACTGTCAAAGGCAAGACATAAGGAACCCACTGACACAGGCAAGACATAAGAAATCTACTGACATAGGCTAGACACAGCACACCAACCGACATTGGGAGAAGATTGTAAACTTACTGACACAAGCAAGACATTGTAATTTCACTAATACAGGGATGACAGTAATTTCTCTTAACATAACCTTTAAATGAGAGGTAAAAAAACACAAACAATTATTGGTATTGTGATTGCACAGGCATTTAATACAAAATCCTACAGAACAAGTGTATCTATCACATAGATTTCATCACACCTCTTTTGAATAATACGTGAATTTTTTTTTTCCTTCAAAAGCATGTGATATGAATTAGTCAAAACAATAAATAGGCTTCCATTTCCATGGGGGAAAAAAATTAAAAGTGTTAAAATCTTTCAACAACAAACAATGATAAACTGTTTCTATCATACTTACTTAACATATACACACAAACATTTATGGAACATGAGATGTCAAGCACTTGGATAAATATAGAATCTGCTCATCTACCACAGGCAATGTGTAGCTATACTCCATACCTGTCCAAAGCTGACTATTCCTAAAAACAGCTGTCATCAGGTCTTCAAAATCTGTCAGTCTGTCCATTCTACTGGTATTGATAACTGGTTGTTCATGATTATTTTTGTATTGAAATAAGTGATAATGAAAAATGATACAATATAACAGTTTCCTCGTAATAACTTTTACCAAGTGCATTGTGTTGTAAACTACATAAAATTCACAACAAATTTTTTTAAGAAAAGAGAAATATAGAAAATTTCATGATTTCAAAACCTGATTTAAATGAAATTTACATCCCTGACAGGTCGAAAGACACACTGGCCTTTATATAACATACACCTGCCCTAACTTTCTCTGGCAACTTGCACATCTACAGTAAATTCACACTTACCAATCACACGAAAGGATTTTTTAAATGAAAGATGAGCTTACAATTTTGACCAATAGTACACTTATATTATAAGCTCTTTGCCTTCTGGTGAGGTCTGATTCTCCGTACAATCTGGTAAGGTCTGATTCTCTGCACCTTCTGGTGAGGTCTGATTCTCCGTACAATCTGGTGAGGGCTGATTCTCCGTACCATCTGGTAAGGTCTGATTCTCTGCACCTTCTGGTGAGGTCTGATTCTCCGTACAATCTGGTGAGGGCTGATTCTCCGTACCATCTGGTGAAGTCTGATTCTCCGTACCATCTGGTGAGGTCTGATTCTCCGTACCTTCTGGTGAGGTCTGATTCTCCGCACCTTCTGGTGAGGTCCGATTCTCCGCACCTTCTGGTGAGGTCTGATTCTCCATACCATCTGGTGAGGGCTGATTATCTGTACCTTCTGGTGAGATTTGATTCTCTGTACCATCTGGTGAGGTCTGATTTTCCATACTATCTGGTGAGGTCTGATTCTCCGCACCTTCTGGTGAAGTTTTATTCTCTAACTTACTGGTGACGGTCAGATTCTCTTGCCTTCTGGTGATGTCAGATTTTCCAACATTCTGGTGATGTCAGGTTCTCCAACCTTCTGGTGATATCAGACTCTCCAACCTCCTGGGGATGGTCAGATTCTCGACCTTCTGATGACAGTCAGGATTCTCCAACCTTCTGGTGATGTCAGATTAAACCATTTTGACTACGTTTTATACTCCTTAACTTCATTCAATCAGGTCCACCTTACACATGACTCAAGATCTTATCACCTGTAAAATGTTCATGCATTCACACCATCATGAATTTAAGTGTCAAAATCATCCTCACACAATGAATCTTACCACTCTGTGTTGAAAATTTGCCCCATACACACGATTCTCTACTGACCGCTTCCTAGAATTATACCATGACAAAAAATTCAATAGAAGAACTAATTTCGCAAATAACTGCAATTCAATACTTAAAAATTGGATTGATAATATGTGAGTTATAAGTCAGGGAGATGATTATGTATGAAAGCTGTAGTAATACAAGTGATGGCAAACATCAGTCTGTATGACGGCCAAACTTCTGTGCACATAATCAATATCCAGTGAGACTGTGAAGATTCCACTACACTGACAGCAACACAACCATTTCTCCACAAATATTTCCATTCTTGCTCAAAGATAACTGACAAAAGGTTCTTTGTTGACGCTGCTAACCACAACTGTTGTCAGTTCAAGTGGAAACCTTTTTCACTGGTAGCATCGAGGAGTTTCTGGCGTAGAATATCTTCGGAGGAGTACTCGGGTAGCTTGAGATAGTGAACACAGGTATTAACTGAGGGGTAGCTAGAGTCACTACCATCCACTTTCCTCACTACGGTCAGGCGTGGGTGGAGATTAGCAAAGCCACCTGGTGGTAGGGAGGAACATCCTGTCGTGAACTGTAGAAACGCCTTTCTTTCATCAGCATTAAGACTAGTCATTACATTAACGAAACGCTGGAACCCAGGGCTGAAAGTAAGTAGAATCATCAGTAATATCCTATGAAAATCCATTTATAACAAATAACTATTAGTTTGGAATTAAGGGTTCAAATTTATCAATTCATTCTGAAAATACTTAATACAATTTTTTTATATTTCATTTGTTCTTTCATCGTGTTAACTTTTGTTCTTAAAACAAAATTTGTATAAGAAATATTGTGTAAAATGTTTCTCCTATTCCTTCAACATATCCAACACTAAACAGTTAAACCTATGAAGGAATGATAGAAGCAGCTTTTGACAATCTGGACCAGTCACCCACCTGTCTCTGGTGTAACCCAGCTTCGGCTCTGTGTAGCTAAGAACATCATCACGTGTCCATGTGGGTGCCTGCTCTCCGCACATCAGTGTGGCAAGTTCTGTGGGACTGAAAGAGTGCAGTTTCTCCATGCTGAACACTTCGTCGAATCCAGCTGTGGAAGTAAACAAGAACTGTTGAGTAATACACCAATTAAAACTTAATATAGTTGTGTAACTCTCACCTCGTGAATGTATAAATGAGATGGTGTGTAAGTTTGAAGTTCTGTAACACACACATCTAGTTTACACTGGTGAGATGGTGTGTAGGTTCGAAGTTCTGTAACATACACCTCTAGTTTGTATTAGTGAGATTGCATGTACCTTTAAAGGCATCTAATTGGTGTCGAATTCCACTGTTGAGACAGAAGTCAGTGACCAGATCAACATATTCATCCACATTTTCCAGATTCACTTCCTGTGGGAAAAAACATTCATAACTTTAGACACATGTTTAAAGCAATAGTAACATAATCACAGTTACTTAGTTTTATTAACCCATTTATGTTTAAGTCTGGACTAATGTGAAAATATAATAACAACATTCCTTCTTCAAAATATGCATTAAGTTCAAATAATTCATTGTATAAGGTCTCACCTCTTCTGCATTAGACTTGAGGTCATAGGACATGTAGCCATACACTTTGGATGAAGGATTGAACTGGAATGTTAAACTGAAATATAAAAATCAAACACCTGTGAAATACAGCAATTTTATATTAAATGTTAAAAAACACAGTCATTTAGGTTTAATGAGATGTGTAACAATAGTCATATATTTTCAAACAAAACTACTTCCAACAAATTCAGTGGGTGAATGTATGATTACCATTGCGACAAATATTTCATTTTAAAATCAAACTACTGTTTACATCTATGATTATGTAGAATGTTCTGGGGACTGCTGGACAGAAAGATAAAAGCACTCCGCTTCCTAAACTATTTGGGTTTAGATCACACGGTGCCCTCTCTCTCAACATTCTAGTCACCTTCACAATCTAACATTATGATATAAACCGCTACTTTACCCGATATCCTCAATCCTATAGATGGCACCAGGTTCAGATGGATTCTGCAGTCCTAGTTGCTGTATGAGTATATTTTTCTGATCTGGAGACAGTGTCTTATCCTTTAGAATCCTCTGTTTTTTACTGACTAAATCTCGCAGCTGTCGTAGGAATGTTGCACGGTGAGGGTCGATGAGCTCAAAGTCATCATCATTAAGAATTCCTTCATACCAGGCAGGTGTGTCTGGATGCTTGACTTTGGGGGGATCAAGAATCAGTTCTTTATCAACATCCTCTATGCTGGAGGATAGTGTGTCCCGTGGAGACAGATCCTGTTCACTGTGGTACGATTCGGTGGTACTGCCAACAGACCGGTGCAGTGAATCCTGGTACTGCTGGGTAATAATGTGGCCCATCTCCCCCATACACATCAGTTTGAAGAAAGATCGGGAAAGTGGTAAGTCAATCAAACGTTTGTCCTGTATACACTTGGCAAGGAGAGTGCCAAGGAAGTGGAATAACTTCTCAACACGGGGAATATCTGCGCTATCCTGAGGCAGAGGGGCAGGGAACAAACCTCCACCTCTCTGGATGTAGAATCCAGGAGGCTTCACACCATGGCCGATGTCCACCTATACATAAAACACATATATTTAACCACTATAACCTCAGAACAGTTTCTACGTAGAGCTCCAGAAAATTGTGTGAAGAACAATTAAGTGGTTATTTTGTAGTCCTCGTCACTGAGGGGATGTTTTTTTAAATTACCTACATGCTGAAGTAAACCCCAGATATAGAGCTTATTGGATAATCAACGAAAAATATGTAGGACAAAGTGATTGTACAAGAGACAAAACGAAGTACATGTAGTATCATCAGACAGGTATGTCCTGTCGACAATTCACTAACCAGTGGCCTATAAAACACTATTTCAGGAGTCATTTCAATCACTGCTCATCTCATAATTTCATTTGCTTAGGATTATCTTATCATATTACTGTATTGTATTCTGATACTCACTTCTCTCTCAAGCTTATTGGGGACATCATCGTCACACAGCCATAGTCCAAGTTCCTTTCTCTGCATTTCAGCAGCAATGAGAGCATAGAATTCAAGACTAGGACCAAGTCCTGTGCCTTCCTCCAGTTCAAACTCGATTTCTAATACAGACTTTCTATGAGCATGGTACTTCATCACCTGCACAGCCCAGTCTAGTAGTCTTTCACCACGTGGGATCCTCACACGTTCATGCTTCAGTCTTCCAATACGATACTCTCCACCTTCATCACGCCGTGGCATGGGGCCACGACTTCGCTCTAGAGTGGCATCCCTCCGGTCTTGTAGCCATACAATAGCCCTAATGGAGAAAAGTAAAGTCATTTTAATATTTTGTTGTTATAATAAATGTAACATAAGTTTAAAGTATCTGTCAGTTTTCCAATGTGAAAGATCTCAGAAAAATTCCTTACCTAGAGGATCCAAAGGCAGTACAAGTAAAGTAGATCTGTCTTGTGTCAAAAGAACAGAGCATTGGGCAGTACTTAGTCAGTTTCTCACACCAGTCAGGTAGGGCATTACTAGCCAGCACCAACGGGTCCTGTGGACAGATAGAATTCTACTGTATACAAACTTAATCAAATATTATCCTCAAGTTACTATAAACAGCTAGTAAACTTGGAATCCTCAAGCATGAATTTATGGAAAGTATTCTTACATCTGATCCTCTGTATTAGAAAATGCTCTACTGCCCTAACCAGAGGAAACCAAATAGATCTATTTTCTATCATTAGCAAATGACCATGGAATCCTACAGCATGGCTTTATCAAAAGTATTCTCACAAATGATTATATTAGAAAACCCCATACTGTTCTTAAAGGAGGACACTAAATCAATTCATTTTCTATAAATAGCAAGTGACCTTGACAACTCCTACCAAACAATGTATTATCAAACTTGATCTTTACCTTGGTAAGGTCTGATTTAAAACTTAACAGTCACTTAAGGAAGGACACCAAAACAACATGGGAAGGGATGCAGGTGAAAGGATACTAACCTGTGTCTGTTGTACTAATTTATTGGTGATCTTTTTACTGATGAAGTCCTCTGCGGGCACATTCAGTAGTAGCGGCTGATCATCTGTTATATGTAGCATAGTTTTAATATGTCAGAAGAAATCAAACACAGCAATAGACAACTTCCCATAAATCAATGAAATATGTTTCATTTATATTGCATCTAATTTATGGAAAAAAATCATTATCTTTTGAAATCATAAAAAAAGAAAATGAATCAGGCTTATTTTCATAAATCCATAAAATACAACATAATCTTCAATGATTTTTTTTTATATGTGTAAAAGGGTTTCGGGGGGGGGGTTAGCACATACATTTTGTAAGAATGTTTGGCGTGTGTTCCATAGCAATGGCGTACAGTCTCTGTAACAACTGAAGCACATGATCCATGGTACAGGCTGTCGGATCATTATTACGAGGGATGTCCCATTCGCTGAGGATCTGGTAGCCCTGACTATCTGCCTGTGCTCCAATCTGACGGTACACAGAGTCCTAAAATAGGACATCAAAGGTTAGATCAACTCTCAGCAGGTTCTGAGGTCAGGTTTACCATTTCAACATTGAAACAACTCAGAAATATTACAGTAAGGAATGATGCACAACTTAGCATATATGATTGTTTTTTTCTCACTTAAACAAATTACAATCTTGACAAAAGCATATCCAGTTGCAGCCTGTGTATCTACAAGACAGATATCTGATATCTAAGTATTAGTAAAAGTTGAAATAACTTGTTTCGCAATTGTTGTAAAACAAATGAAGTTTATAGTTATATACAAGACAGATATCTGAGTTCAGTATAAGTATTAGTAAAAGGTGAAATAACTTGTTTCGCAATTGTTGTAAAACAAATGAAGCTTATAGTTATATACAAGACAGATATCTGAGTTCAGTATAAGTATTAGTAAAAGGTGAAATAACTTGTTTCGCAATTGTTGTAAAACAAATGAAGCTTATAGTTATATACAAGACAGATATAACCAGAATAAAAGCACCATACATACTGTCATTTTCTCCAGTTCTTGTTTACTTTCTCCATCCTTCAATGCTTTGTACACAATCCTGTACAACACAAAACAAAATATACATAATATATACCATAGTTATGCATAATTAAATGTCTTGTCTGTTCTGCTTTGCTATAGGCGAAATACCCTAAATTTTTCTCCACCCAAATATTGAATTTCGAAATTAATTCTAATTAATAACATGTAAAAACCATACAAATGTTGTCCTATTTAAATATTGATCTATTGTAAACCATGAAATAAAAGTTAGTAAATTTTTTAAATTCTTATTATTCATTCGAATGACATTTTAACCCCAAAATATCACTCTTCCAATGATGGTGGACGAACCCTCTGATAATTTACAGTACTTGTTTCATTAGGACTATAAATTAAGCCTGAAGTGAATAGAACAAACCATAAAGAATTTGTAGTGTTTACTGAACATCCAAAGTGTTTGTCCCCAAAATACACACACACACAAATCAAATTGTTACTTTCCCTTGCTGACGAGACAAAAACATGTCATAAAGATACATCATCAAGTTCCTGCTATGACTGTTGAATCATCCACAGAGAAAAAAAGGAAAAATTCTCAGGATACAGACTTTTTACAGGTTTACATGTTTAAGTGTATTTTTTTCCCAATTGTCTGCCAAGCCAATGTTTTGTAATAAGCAAGACCAGTTCTGATTGTTTTTTTTTTTTTTTTGAGATGCTAAATCTAAGATCTGTAATGCCTTACGTATATGTTGGTTCCCAGATCCTCTTAAGTCGTTCTGTTCTGTTTGCTGCAGGTCCCTGAGTAAGTAGTTTCTGTATGTACTTAAATATACAGCTTTTCTCATGGCCAAGACAAACCTCACCATCCTCCATCTAAACACAATACCAACATAGTACAATTAGAAACACCGCAGTTAAACAAATTAAAAATGTTATACCTGAATGACATCAGTCTAGATTATTCCCCCAACTGACAGAGATCTTCCAGTAAAATATTTGTTTTGTAGTATTGACTTTTTCACCTGTTGTGGACAGAACAGTACATAACACTTAACAACAATACAATGAAAATATGTGCCAAGTGATATCTCATTTCATTTTATTGAGAATTCATCTCTCTTACCCCTGGCAGTCCAGGTGCCTTGATGTAGATGGCTAGTTTGGGTTGAAGCACTTGGTCACCAGATTCTGTTGCACTTGGGCCCTCTGATCCTGTAGGGATAAACATTAAACATGTAAAGGTACACATTGCTAAAACAAAACCACTGAAACTTCAATATCATTATTGTTCACAGATATGAACCACCAAAAGAAAACAAAGCTAGAAAATATCTATGACGTCAATGCTCTAATTCCCATTTAACATTAATACTTTTTCTATAAATAGTAATGATGACCTTGACCTTGGAAAGTAAAAGGATGAGTTCCTCGAAAGTACTCTAACACATAATGCAATACTTGTGTATCACTTTTCTTTGAAATCTAGAAATTAAAAAAGACAGATTTGGTCTTGATTTGTTTCTTTACAGATATGTAAATGAATTCAACACAGGAATAAACATTATAGGATTAGACAAATAATAAATAAAATACTTAACATATTCTTAAAACTAATGAAGAAATCTAGCTATTTATAGGAATTCATCAGGACTAACCTGGGGCAGGAATCTCAAAGTCCTGAGTCTGATTGACATTGGTGCGTCCAGGACGGGGATCAAATGCCGGGATGAGAGCAGAGAACTGGCGCTTCAGGACAAACTCATCATCCCATGTCTTCCTTCTTTCACCGCGCCCTTCTAATTCATCTTCCTCCTGTAAAGGGAGATAATTAGTGACTTAAATCTGATGTGGACATAAAGGCCACCAATTCCTTAGTAGTATTAAAGCAGATCAGCAAAACTACTAAAACCATCTTAACCAATTCACTGATCAAAAATCTATAACATACAACATTATCATGTCTTATGGCTTAACAAATGTAGACACATCAAAGGCAATCTGAACAAATGTGGACACATCAAAGGTAATCTGTACAAATATAGAAACATCAAAGGCAATATGAACAAATGTGGACACATCAAAGGTAATCTGTACAAATATAGAAACATCAAAGGCAATCTGAACATATGTGGACACATCAAAGGTAATCTGTACAAATGTAGACACATCAAAGGCAATCTGAACAAATGTGGACACATCAAAGGCAATCTGAACAAATGTAGACACATCAAAGGCAATCTGAACAAATGTGGACACATCAAGGGCAATCTGAACAAATGTAGACACATCAAAGGCAATCAGAACAAATGTAGACACATCAAAGGCAATCAGAACAAATGTAGACACATCAAAGGCAATCTGAACAAATGTAGACACATCAAAGGCAATCAGAGCAAATGAAGACACAACAAAGGCAATGCATATATGTTCTTACCAGGAAGTCATCATACACTTCATCATCTTCGTTTTCATCCTCATTTTCATCATCATCATCATCTGGTCCTGGGAGTTCCTCACAATCATCGTCCAGCTCAGCTAGCAGCATAGGTGCACGACAGCTCTCCATGAACTCATTATCACTTTCACTGGATGTGGAAGTGAGGCTCCTTGTTAAAGCCTGACTGAGGGATGTAACATTAGCCATGGTTTGGGTTGTTGTCAAGGTATTTGAGGTTGCTGAAGCTGATGTGGTGAGGCTGGGATAACTCTGAGCTGTACTCAGCAAGGCATCTAAATGGGAAACACATTCTTTTACATGATGTTAAGTATGACAATCATTTTGATTTATAAAACTTAATTAATCTCTCTAAGATTGATTTACTTCAATCCAACAAAATATCATCTTATCCTATAGCGTTAAAGAGAGAAAATTAAACAAAAACATTTTTCTCTTCAGGTCTCTACTACAACAGATAACATGTATATTTGTAATTTCATATCATACTTTGATGCATTCACAAACAATCTCAATGAAAATCAGCTGTACATGTTCCACAGTAAAATTCTATACTTCAATCCTTGTCCATGTGTGCGTAAATGTAATACATACTGTTGTACATACTTGGTGAGTTCTGAGGACCAAGTCTTCCACTGTTGCTGCGATTATTCATGACAACTGTACCAAGATTTCTGCGTGTCACAGCAGCAAAAGTTTCCAGTAAACTAACGGTCTGCTCCATACTCGATGGTAGATTAGGAACGCTCACACTCATAGGATTGGTAGGAGAGCTGCGGGTTTGAGCCTCCATTTTCTTAGCAATAGCCTCCGCTACGCTGGCAGCCACATTAGAACCTACAGTGGTGGACGGCATTTGCATGGCCTCTGCACCCTTGGGTGATCCCTGCTCACTCGTCTCCAGGACATCTGGTAAGGCAGGGTATCCTCCTGATGCCTCCACATTCCCACGTTCATGTCCCTTATGGACAACTACAACTGGCTCTGTGGGGATGTTGCCACTGACTCCTTCATCTACAGGGTCCACATTTACAGATACAAGGGCATCTGAACTGGCCAGATTCACCATACTGTCTGCCAGGTTCTGTGCCATCTTAAACAAAATATCAACCATTTTGGCAACATATAATCAGCAATTTTTATCTAAAACTTACTAGCTAACAAAGAAATAAGTTACTTATAATGATTTAATGGTTGTGACTTACCAATTTAATGGGTGTGACTTTCTGATTTAATGCAAGTGACCTTAAATATAACATCAGTGACCTTTATTTTAAATGGCAGTGACCTCCATATTCAATGATTGTGACAAACTGTTTTAATGGGTTGAATTTCTTATTTAATGCCAGTGACCTTTGGATTTAATGGCAGTGACCTTAAATATAACATCAGTGACCTTTAGATTTAATGGCATTGACCTTAGATATAGCATCAGTGACCTTTATTTTAAATGGCAGTGACCTCCATATTTAATGATTGTGTCAAACCTTTTTCATGGGTTGAATTTCTGATTTCATGCCAGTGACCTTTGGATTGAATGGCAGTGACCTCCATATTTCATGGATGTGACTTACTGATTTAATGGCAGTGACCTTTAAATAAACATCAGTGACCTTTGGATTAAATGGCAGTGACCTTTGGGTTCAATGGCAGTGACCCTCTGATGTTATGTTGGTTTAATGGCAGTGACCTCTAGATTTCATGGTTGTGACTTACTGATTTAATGGCAGTGACCTTTAAATTAAACATCAGTGACCTTTGGATTAAATGGCAGTGACCTTTGGGTTCAATGGCAGTGACCTTCTAATGTTATGGCAGTGACCTTTGGGTTCAATGGCAGTGACCGTCTGATGTTATGGCAGTGACCTTTGGGTTTAATGGCAGTGACCTCTAGATTTCATGGTTGTTACTTACTGATTGAATTGCTTTATGTAAATGATTGAATGGCTGAATTCATGAATTCACTGGTTGTAACTTACTAATCTATTGGTGTTGACTTTAGGATTAAATGATTGTGTTTGATTTGTAAGCAGTGATATATTGGCTGTGACTTACAGATTTATTGGGTCTAATTTCCTGATTTAATGCCTGTGACTTGGTGTTTTAACAGCTGTGACTTACTGATTTATTGGGTCTAATTTCCTGATTTAATGCCTGTGACTTGGTGTTTTAACAGCTGTGACTTACTGATTTATTGGGTCTAATTTCCTGATTTAATGCCTGTGACTTGGTGTTTTAACAGCTGTGACTTACTGATTTATTGGGTCTAATTTCCTGATTTAATGGCCTGTGACTTGGTGTTTTAACAGCTGTGACTTACTGATTTATAGGGTCTAATTTCCTGATTTAATGCTTGTGACTTGGTGTTTTAACAGCTGTGACTTACAGATTTATAGGGTCTAATTTCCTGATTTAATGCTTGTGACTTGGTGTTTTAACAGCTGTGACTTACAGATTTATAGGGTCTAATTTCCTGATTTAACGACCGTGACTTGGTGTTTTAACAGCTGTGACTTACTGATTTATTGGGTCTAATTTCCTGATTTAACGACCGTGACTTGGTGTTTTAACAGCTGTGACTTACAGATTTATTGGGTCTAATTTCCTGATTTAATGGCCTGTGACTTGGTGTTTTAACAGCTGTGACTTACTGATTTATTGGGTCTAATTTCCTGATTTAATGCCTGTGACTTGGTGTTTTAACAGCTGTGACTTACTGATTTATTGGGTCTAATTTCCTGATTTAATGCCTGTGACTTGGTGTTTTAACAGCTGTGACTTACTGATTTAACTGCTGTTGTGAGGTTGTCAGCAGAGGCAGCCTGTTCAGTACTGGCCACTGATGGTTTATTCTCCGACACATCCGTCAGACTTGGCGTAGAACTACTTTTCCTGCTGGTCAATACACTTACCTGAAACATAAAAGGAGTAACACTAACCAAAGGGTGACCACACAGAGATCACAGAACATTTCTCTGCCCAAAAAAGACCTTGATATTGTTTTCATCAAAGGTGAAAAAAGGCAATAATTAACATAAAGATTCTGAAGTAAGAAACTATAAAATTAACCTATGATGATTATGCCATACATTATGTGGCTGTAAAGTGATATATTCATATCCTATATTGGTACATGGATGTATCTTCAGGTTTAAAAGAAAACAATAAATACATTCTTGTTTGTTGAGAACAGGTATTTAGATGCTGAAAGATATGAGAACAGGTATTCAGATGTTGAAAGATGTGAAGACAGATATGAAGATGTGAGAACAGACATTAAGATGTTGAAAGATGTTAGAAAAAAATTTTTTTTTATCTTTAAAAAGGATATACGTTAACTCATCATAATAAATAACATTTACACTTAGAAATAAAAAACTTTTATGTCAATGTTTAAATATTGTACCTTGGCTTTATCGGACACCAGTGAGCTTGTGACCTTAACTTTGGCTCCTCCAACAGCACCTGCCTCCGTTGTCCTGACAACAGGGCGCAGCTTCTCTGGGTCATGATTAGGTGAGAGTTGAAGGTCATACTTCCCCTCAGCCCCCATTCGGTACGAGTTTGAGCCCCCTGAGTCCCAAGTAACATCAATCCAACCTTTTAAACAGGTAAAGGTCAGAGGTTATGAACAGAACTCCCAAATTTGTTTATTATAAAAATGATAACAAAATCTTATTTAAATTCGAACACGTAACCAACTATACATAGCCTTATCCCTATGATGGATCGGTACAGTGACATGGCACATACATTAGATGTAAGCTATAACCCATTTACCATTATGAAGTTCTCCTGTAATGGTCCCTTCCCCTGGCGGATTACCATCCTGTTCTCTCCACTTCCAGTCCATACCACGTGTCACACGAGCCCCAGGAACCATCTGCTTTAGAACCTGTGTACGGATAATTCTTCTCTGTCGTCTCAGGTTAGCCTCTGCCTCCCTTGCAGCCTTACCTGTATATAATTAAGACATTATGTGCAAGATAGGAATTAAGCTGGGTTGTCCCATAAAATAATATATTTTCTCAGTTATCAGATCACAACTTAAACTTTGCTCTTGTAAATACAACGATACATCACGCAGAAATCAGTTTCTGACCAAAAACTTGTTTTGTTTTTTTTTACCTACTGTAGCCAGACAGGGACAAGAACTGTACACTAACCTAAATTATAGCAGACACCAGTCACTTTGCCACAGATCTCAAAACCTGACAGGGACAAGAACTGTACACTAACCTAAATCATCACAGACGCCAGTCACTGTGCCGTAGATTTCAAATCCTGAGAGAGACAAGTAATGAGTCTGTCCACTGGCATTCTTGCCTGTTTGTTGAAGTCGGATATGACGCCAACCTTGAGTCTCTTCCTTTGATGGAGACAGTGTCCAGGTAGCTGTTGATCTGTGAAAACATTAAAAGCTAACCACTGATTACTGTGATATATCAAGTTTTACAAAGGCCACTACACCAAATAACATTATTTATCTCATGTTATTGTGCAGACTGCATCCTCATATTTTCCAAGCACTATTTCTCTGATTCTTAATCCTTCCTGAAATATGTGCAGAAGGAAAGATTTAATTGTATCTCTATCTATAGCTGAAAACTTGATGACACCTATGTGTACTTACAGATCAGGTACCAAATATCATATTTCAATATTCCAATCACTATTGTATATTATATAGATAATTGTTTATCATGACAGACTGTTGACCAAACTAAGGCAAAACACAGATGTATACATTATAATGGATGACAAAAGAGGAAGCAGTTGCATTTTATTTACCCTATATCTCGCTGAACATTTAAATTGCCCAAAAAAGCTAAATAATATCAAACTTTGATCTATAGCATGCAGTACATTGCCTTTGAGAAGTTAAAGATTACAAGGCACCTGTTATAAGTTACTCAATGTGTTAAAATCTAACCCTATTTGAGTACAAGCCATATGACAGTAAATTTGTCAAATTGCTATAAAAAAGAAGAGACTTGTGTGGAGATGATTTTAACAATCTAGTTTTCAGTGGTTACATCTCTTGTGCATGAGTGAATCTTAGTCAAAACAGTGTACTAACATTTGATGAACTGACAAGCTTGGTATCATTGTTACATAACAATTGGACTGTTGTGACAAAACCTAATAAATACATGGTTTATTTTAAAAGAATCTGAAGCAGCAGAAATTTCATCCTCATCAGAGTCCTCTCTTATTTGTGTCCTTACACTCACCCTGGTTCATTGAGTCTATTGTCATCTTTGTGGTTGAGAAGTGTGTCCCATGTGGTACCATCCTTAGACACCTGAAACTGCCAGTTCCTCAGGGCAGACCTGCACATAAATCATACAAATGAATATTTCAGTTCCTTGAGACAAATCTTCACAAAAGTCATAGGATACTGGTATTTATAATTCAGTTCCTCAGGGTCAAACCTTCATATAAATCATAAGTTTATTATACTTGAAACAATCACATTAAAATGGTAATCATATCTCCATTTTCTTGATCTATTACCAACAGCAACTAATGCATGTTGTTTCTGACAAACTGTACTGGACATGATGCATGTCTGCTAGTACATTGTACAGTTAGTAATACATGACAGTGATAATAGAGGTACACATCAAAATAAACCTGTGATAACCTGTTAAGTTACAACATGTAACTAGTGACATAAACCATGTGGAACGCTCACCTGCCATATCCACGAGCATGTCTCAGTGAGTAACACGATGGAATCAGCCACACCCCTAGGTCTATTGCAAACCATGCCTTCCTGTAGTAAAATAAAATTATATTCTGTCAAACATCCTTTCATATACACAATAACAAATGCCTTCATACATCAAATTTGTATCAAGGAAACCAGAATTCATTGATGTAACATATACACAGTCACAAAAATACATAAGTAAAGAACATGTTTTTCTTTCAAGAACAGTATTATACACATTTCAAAGAAACTGTACATCAATCTGAGTTTTTAAAACATAATCGTAAAATGAAAAAAATTGATGTCAATTTCACACAGTGTAGACCAACATGGGAATGAAATGCCCTCAACCCTACATACTTGTCATCATTGGTGTGACAGTTGAGTGCAGCACTGTCTCGACTGAGGATGTCCTCCAGCTTTCCATATGGGAGATTCCTGCCTTCTGATGATGTAACCACCACCAGTCCATAATGGGCGGGGTTAATCCACTCATATGCACTCCTGTTTACAGGCAAAATAGGTCAAAGGTCAGCAGATACAAATATACAGATGGACTACCAGGAGCACTAAACATATTAATGCCTCTGATATTTGCATTTGCTTATACTTACCAATAATATTCAAGTGAAGAACTGTAATTTGTGAAAGAATTTGCTATGGTCAGCTATATATAGTTATACTTGGTTTTATCAATAGGCTCTGACACACAGTACAAAACAGTACTACCCTATCTACAAAGTTTTCTGGTGAAGCTGTAATAATTCTGTAACAGTTTACAAACCATTCTACTCTGTCTACAATTTCTAATGAGATTGTAACAATTCTGTAACAAAATGTACAAAAGCCACTATGAAGTATGTGACCCAAGCTGTGATGATTCTCTGATAGAGTACTTACTTGGCATTTGTTCCTATCCAGTAGACAAGACCATTCTCATCAAAGTCAGACTGGTATGAGAAACTGACTTTATTAGTGGATTCCTTCAGCTTCTTAACAAAGGTGAAAGTTTGTCTGTCAAAGTCATACCACTGTTTAGCCACCTGTTAGAAAAATAGAGCATTACAAACAGATTTCATCAGGAAGAAACAATAACTTCTTTACATCCAGTAGTTGGAAAAATAATCCATCCACATCAAACGATAAAATTTGGACGTCTTTTTGGAAGCTAAACAAGAAGTACCTCTGTCAAACATCGAACCAAGAAATTACATGATATAGAGGAAATATTTCTTTCTAAGAGTGAAACAACACCAGGAATTTATTTCATCAAGCATCACTTGTTCAGTCTTAAGTGTTTAAAGAACATGATGGCTTCTTAGTGTGTTATTAATATTAACACAAATCTTTGAAATTTCAATCAATGAGTTATTACCAAAACAATAACTGAAAATTCTGATTTTATTGTAAAAGTTTGAGGGGCTGAATTTTGTCGACAGCCAAATTAAGAAGAGGCAGTAGCTGATCAGCAATAGATAGAATACTTCACAAGTATATTGACCTGTAAGTAAAACATACCATTTTGAGAAGATATCTCTCCAGGGCTGCTACTGAAGTCAGGGGTTCCATTTTAAGGTTACATCCACTCCTGTCTAAAAGAGTGCTCTCCCCTGGGGATCTCTCCAGTCGAAATCTCAAACGTCGTGTCAAAATCTAGAAAAAATAAACTCTTTATAAGATCTGCTTGTATCCTGATCAAGCTAAATCATAGTTAACAGGAAAACATACAAAATTAAACTGACTTCTTACCTGTAGACCATATCCTAATCAGGTAGATCATTGTTAGACAGGAAAATATGCACAAGAAACATACACAATTACATATCTTCCATGTTCTGCTTTGTTAGTGTGGTATTTTCAAATACAAAATATACAAAAATACATGTTTCCTTCCTTCCAAATTTCTAATTTCCAAGTTTTTATAATAATATGTAAACAAAATATATATGTTATAGTAAAATTTCAATACTGGTGGATTTTAAAAATTCTATAATTTTTACCCTGGAAGATATATTGTAAATGATGGATGTGTTCACTGTATGATCATGCTACATACAAAGTTTGGTTTCGACTTGTACTTTTTCAGCAACAGATCTAGATGCAAAACTTCAAAATTGTCTCACTCCCACGACTTTTCATCACAGGTGAGACATAAACTTATAAACTCCTTACCTGTAGGCCATATCCTGATCCAGGTAGATCGTAGCTATATACAGGTAATTTCTCTATAGACTCTAACACAGCTATCAGTTTCTTTACTAGAGCCACTGCCGGCATCAAACTGTAACACATCATTTAAGAAATTACTAAGCATTACAAACACATAATACAAACATTTTTATTGTAGTAAGAGATTTACCTTAGTCAAGTAAAATCAGAAAGAACAAAATTGATAATCAACACATTACACTACAGGCCAAAATAGAACATTCTATACAAAAACTTGGTCAAAAGCCTTTTCCAACATTTTATCAGTGATCATTATACAGGCCAAAATAGAACATTCTATACAAAAACTTGGTCAAAAGCCTTTTCCAACATTTCATCAGTGATCATTATACAGGCCAAAATAGAACATTCTATACAAAAACTTGGTCAAAAGCCTTTTCCAACATTTCATCAGTGATCATTATACAGGCCAAAATAGAACATTCTATACAAAAAGCCTTTTCCAACATTTCATCAGTGATCATTATACAGGCCAAAATAGAACATTCTATACAAAAAGCCTTTTCCAACATTTCATCAGTGTTAACTGATGACATAATCATACTTCACCTTTGTTTTTCCTGAAATACACTTTTGAACAGGTCGATTCTCTCCCTTGTTCTCTTCTTACTTTCCTTGCTATTGGAATCTTCAATATTCTAAAGGCATAAAATAATTTTCTTACTGTTGTGTGTGGTATCAATACATTAAATTGTGTGTGATAAGATCAGCTGAAGAATAAATAATAATAGATCTTAATGATTTTTACACATCACCAGAAATCTAACCAACATTGTTGGTGTTTATCAGGACATTGGTGAGGTAATACTGACATTGGTGAGGTAATACTGACATTGGTGAGGTAATACTGACATTGGTGAGGTAATACTGACATTGGTGAGGTAATACTGACATTGGTGAGGTAATACTGACATTGGTGAGGTAATACTGACATTGGTGAGGTAATACTGACATTGGTGAGGTAATACTGACATTGTAGATAATTATGCAGATATTCTTGGTGTTTATAAGGACATTGGTGAGGTAATACTGACATTGGTGAGGTAATACTGACATTGTAGATAATTATGCAAATATTCTTGGTGTTTATCAGGACATTGGTGAGGTAATACTGACATTGGTGAGGTAATACTGACATTGGTGAGGTAATACTGACATTGGTGAGGTAATACTGACATTGGTGAGGTAATACTGACATTGGTGAGGTAATACTGACATTGGTGAGGTAATACTGACATTGTAGATAATTATGCAGATATTCTTGGTGTTTATCAGGACATTGGTGAGGTAATACTGACATTGGTGAGGTAATACTGACATTGTAGATAATTATGCAAATATTCTTGGTGTTTATCAGGACATTGGTGAGGTAATACTGACATTGGTGAGGTAATACTGACATTGGTGAGGTAATACTGACATTGTAGATAATTATGCAAATATTCTTGGTGTTTATCAGGACATTGGTGAGGTAATACTGACATTGTAGATAATTATGCAAATATTCTTGGTGTTTATCAGGACATTGGTGAGGTAATACTGACATTGTAGATACTGACATTGTAGATAATACTATGGTGTATTCATTGGTGTTAATATCATTGGATAATTATGGTAGGTAATACTGACATTGGTGAGGTAATAATACTGACATTGTAGATAATTATGCAAATATTCTTGGTGTTTATCAGGACATTGGTGAGGTAATACTGACATTGGTGAGGTAATACTGACATTGTAGATAATTATGCAGATATTCTTGGTGTTTATCAGGACATTGGTGAGGTAATACTGACATTGGTGAGGTAATACTGACATTGGTGAGGTAATACTGACATTGGTGAGGTAATACTGACATTGGTGAGGTAATACTGACATTGGTGAGGTAATACTGACATTGGTGAGGTAATACTGACATTGTAGATAATTATGCAGATATTCTTGGTGTTTATCAGGACATTGGTGAGGTAATACTGACATTGTAGATAATTATGCAGATATTCTTGGTGTTTATCAGGACATTGGTGAGGTAATACTGACATTGGTGAGGTAATACTGACATTGTAGATAATTATGCAGATATTCTTGGTGTTTATAAGGACATTGGTGAGATAATACTGATATTGTAGATATTGATATTGACATTGTGGATTTTAATATTGGCATTGTAGATCTTTTTACTTATATGGTAGATATTAATACCGATATTATTGATATATATACAGATATTGTCTGTGTTTACAATGACATTGCTGATGTTTATACTGACATTATTGAGAATGTTGAGCAGGGTCTGTACAAGGCCACTTGAATGAAGTTCATAGGCGGACACTGTATGGTCCTCCTTCAGGAGTATGACCAGTTCAGTCAAAGAGGCAGTCATATCCTCGACCCACGTAACCTCTCCATCAGGTGACTGTAACAACAACAGTTAGATGATCAACACATTCAACTTTACAATACAACATATTGGGCAATACCTATTGATATGAATTGTCACAAAAAGACCAAGGGCAGACAACTCACCCTGACTTGACTGATCTGTTTGGCACATGCAGCCTCTAACTGTTGCACTATGGTGCGTATCTTAGCAACCACTCCTCGTGGCATCGCCTCAGCTGCCCGGAAGTAATCTTCATAAATCTCACGTGCATGGTGTCGAACCTATTAAAAACCAGAAGGTATGATATATAATTACTTAGTTAGCAATCAGATGGTATCTAACAGAATTATCTATTAAGTATGTATTAGTGAAGCATTCATTTTTTCAGCATCATTTAATGAAGTCTATTTATTTAACCCATATCCATTTCATTGTCATTTTCAAAATATCAGATTTTTAAATACTTACCTTTGTTTTGATTTCCTCTGTTTTTGACCTGAATTTTTTACTTTTCTTGCCACCCCATCCTGATGCAAATTCAGGCCCCAGAGATGTCTCTGCGGTGAAGGAGTGCTTGGTACCACGATTAGACTCAAAAATAAATCCCTGCAGATCTTCTCTCAATATAGTGGCCTGCTGTATCAAAACAAACTGGGATATACCAAAGTATAGACACTCTGTTTTATACAAAACTGGGATATACCAAGGTATAGACACTCTGTTTTATACAAATCTGGGATATACCAAAGTATAGACACTCTGTTTCATACAAAACTGGGATATACCAAGGTATAGACACTCTGTTTCATACAAAACTGGGATATACCAAGGTATAGACGCTCTGTTTCATACAAAACTGGGATATACCAAAGTATAGACACTCTGTTTCATACAAAACTGGGATATACCAAGGTATAGACGCTCTGTTTCATACAAAACTGGGATATACCAAGGTATAGACGCTCTGTTTCATACAGAACTGGGATATAACAAGGTATAGACGCTCTGTTTCATACAAAACTGGGATATAACAAGGTATAGATGCTCTGTTTCATACAAAACTGGGATATAACAAGGTATAGACGCTCTGTTTCATACAGAACTGGGATATACCAAAGTATAGACACTCTGTTTCATACAAAACTGGGATATACCAAGGTATAGACACTCTGTTTCATACAAAACTGGGATATACCAAGGTATAGACGCTCTGTTTCATACAAAACTGGGATATACCAAAGTATAGACACTCTGTTTCATACAAAACTGGGATATACCAAGGTATAGACACTCTGTTTCATACAAAACTGGGATATACCAAGGTATAGACGCTCTGTTTCATACAAAACTGGGATATACCAAGGTATAGACGCTCTGTTTCATACAAAACTGGGATATACCAAAGTATAGACACTCTGTTTCATACAAAACTGGGATATACCAAGGTATAGATGCTCTGTTTCATACAAAACTGGGATATACCAAAGTATAGACACTCTGTTTTATACAAAACTGGGATATACCAAGGTATAGACGCTCTGTTTTATACAAAACTGGGATATAACAAGGTAAAGACACTCTGTTTTATACAAAACTGGGATATACCAAGGTATAGACGCTCTGTTTCATACAAAACTGGGATATACCAAGGTATAGACGCTCTGTTTCATACAAAACTGGGATATACCAAAGTATAGATGCTCTGTTTCATACAAAACTGGGATATACCAAGGTATAGACGCTCTGTTTCATACAAAACTGGGATATACCAAGGTATAGACGCTCTGTTTCATACAAAACTGGGATATACCAAAGTATAGACACTCCGTTTCATACAAAACTGGGATATACCAAAGTATAGACACTCCGTTTCATACAAAACTGGGATATAACAAGGTAAAGACACTCGTTTTATACAAAACTGGGATATACCAAGGTATAGACGCTCTGTTTCATACAAAACTGGGATATACCAAGGTATAGACGCTCTGTTTCATACAAAACTGGGATATACCAAAGTATAGATGCTCTGTTTCATACAAAACTGGGATATACCAAGGTATAGACGCTCCGTTTCATACAAAACTGGGATATACCAAGGTATAGACGCTCTGTTTCATACAAAACTGGGATATACCAAAGTATAGACACTCCGTTTCATACAAAACTGGGATATACCAAAGTATAGACACTCCGTTTCATACAAAACTGGGATATACCAAGGTATAGACGCTCTGTTTCATACAAAACTGGGATATAACAAGGTATAGACACTCCGTTTCATACAAAACTGGGATATACCAAAGTATAGACACTCTGTTTCATACAAAACTGGGATATACCAAGGTATAGACGCTCTGTTTCATACAAAACTGGGATATACCAAGGTATAGACGCTCTGTTTTATACAAAACTGGGATATACCAAGGTATAGACACTCTGTTTCATACAAAACTGGGATATACCAAAGTATAGACACTCTGTTTCATACAAAACTGGGATATACCAAGGTAAAGACACTCTGTTTTATACAAATCTGGGATATACCAAGGTATAGACGCTCTGTTTCATACAAAACTGGGATATACCAAGGTATAGACGCTCTGTTTTATATAAAACTGGGATATACCAAGGTATAGACGCTCTGTTTTATACAAAACTGGGATATACCAAGGTATAGATGCTCTGTTTCATACAAACTGGGATATACCAAGGTATAGACGCTCTGTTTCATACAAAACTGGGATATACCAAGGTATAGATGCTCTGTTTCATACAAAACTGGGATATAACAAGGTATAGATGCTCTGTTTCATACAAAACTGGGATATAACAAGGTATAGATGCTCAATACTTTACTAAATAGAATATCTTGTATTCTTATTAATACCTGCAAGGATTTGTGCTAGGAAAGTGAACATATGACCTAAAATTGACAAAAAACACTTAGACCACATATTAAACTCTACCAAAAATTGATCTGATGTAAATTTCTGTTGATTTATGAAATCAATAATAGAGATGCAGCTCAACAAAAATGTTTTTATAAAAATTCTTACAAAATATGATAAGAACAAAAAGAAAAAAAATAACAAAAGAATAAAAATAGCACAGATACATTCATCACCTGTTGTCCATCAGCATTGTGAATCTGGATTTCTCCCTCCTTCTTGCATTGTAGTGACCAGTTACCAATGACCATCCGGGGAGAGGAGGTGCGTGACAAAATGGGCTGACTTGGTGTACCAGATTTAATCTGACTTTTTGCACGTTGAAGCTTTTCTAGGAACTCGCCACGGTTCTCTGAGCTATCTGGCCCTCCCTCAGGGCTGCCACTTGAGTACATTGTGGCAAGCTTGCTATCAAGAATGAACCGAAACCAGCCATTGCTACCATTGCTGAGTTCCAGGGCTGCAGCATCACTCCAAAGGTAAAGACAATCACGACTACGGACCATGCACCAGTCCTTCCAGTGATATGGACGACCTTGCTGAATATCAAGGGCATCTTCCTGGAGCTGCTCATCCTCATCCTGGGGTCAAAGGTCATAAAATGTTAAAGCAGATCTCAAATACACAGGACTTACAGATCTCTACTTGCTCGTCATTAATCATATCAACATAACATACAGCAGTATACAGAGATCTCCTTTTGTCTTGTCACTAAATACCTCAACATTACGTACAGAACTACACTGGGATCATTACTTGTTTTGTCACTAAATACCTCAGCACATCACATATCTCTACTTGCCTTGTCCTCTTTAGCTGTAGCACCTTCTTCATCATCCATGGGACCAGCAAGAGACAGCACTCTCCCAAACAGGCCTAGACGTGCAAAGTGTTCAAGGAAGATCTCCTGTCCCTTTGACATCAGATCCTTGATGATGAACAGCACAACTTGGTGACCTTCATCATCCTCCTGTGTTTACAATCAAACATAATTAATTAATGCTGATAATTTGTTCATGCTTAAACATATAGGAGTATACTGACGATTTAACACTGGTCAGCATGAAGGCTGGCTGTATGACAAACACAAGTATCTACCAAGTTTTTATATTTGTTATTCAACTTTTTATTAAACACTGATTAAAACTTTACCTCATGATCCAACACATTAGCCATGACCTCCGTCAGTGATCCTGCAAAGTTGGTTACATAAAACTCTGGATTGCATATATCTCCTAGTAATGGATTTGTTATGTAGTGTATCATCTTCTTCAGCAGGGAAAGACTAGATTTTCTGTAAAATAGGAATTAAAGCCAGAAATCAACAAGAGAGTACCCCGTTAACTAAGACTGATTTAACTCCTTATCTTTGACAAATAGGAAAGGTGTGTCACATTACCTAAGACAAGTACAATGTCTCAACTTAGTTGGATTTAACTCTTTACTTAAGATCAGTGTAAACCCCATACCAAAGTTAAGTCTAACTGCTATCCTAAGTTGGGTGAACTCCTTACCCTAAAAGGGTATAACTACTTACCTAACAGAGGGCAGCATTGTACTCTGGAATACATGAGTGAAGACGGGAAGGAGTTGTTTTAGATAACGTGGGGCCACCTCAGGGTCCCCCTTGGGTTCCTCAGAGTCCTCTTCTTTCTCCACAACCTCTTCTTCCTTCTTCTTCTCCACCTCAGCAGCAATCTCTCTGTTGACTGGCACCATCCACTCTGCTGTAACAATTCATGTCATTGTCTCTGCACTGAATATCTAATTTGACAATGTATGTAAATAACACATAAAACGTTTTCACTAAGAGTTTCTTAGAATGAAATATTAAATTACTTCTTTCAATTCTATTCCCAACGTTTTAGCAACAATTAAAGCACACACAAATGAAACAGTTCCATAAAAAAGCACACATGCTATTAAAAAGTTAAAATGTTGGAGAACTTTCCACAATTACTTTTGTAAAAATATGCAGACCCCATGCTTGGGCAAAAGGAGGATTTGTGAACATAGCTCTCTTAATCAACCCTCATTCATATTTCAGAACCCCCTTCCCTGCCCCTCCTTATCCATCCTCATTCAAGTTCTCTGATGTCAGTCTGGGGCTCCTTACCAGGTGACTGGAGGGTCTGAATGACCTCACGATGTCCTTCGTCACCCCTTTCTCTAGCCTTATCTAAGGGAGTTTTTCCGTCCTCATCTCTCAGATCTGGGTTAGCACCATACCTTAGGAGAGTCTGTAGACAATAACAACACAATGTATTAAGCACTTGTAGCAACCTCGCTGATACCAATTCCATTGTAATTCTTCTCTTGAAAATTACTTTGGGAGTCTTTAACTGTTATATATTTAAAAAGAAATATTTATCATTCCAAAAATATAGGTAATTATTAATTTACCTTGACTATCTGGGGTCGTCCAAAGCAAGCTGCATAATGTAGAGAGGATGACCTTAAACCACGGTTAACATCAGCACCTCTCTCACACAGAAACTCCACCTTAATGAAAAAAATACAGAAATGTTACTTGTACTTAACAGATACATTTGTAGATATTCTATATGGCATCGGACATTTGCCCATTGATGTTGATAATGCAATTCTAGACTAAATCATAAGTAAAGATCATACCATTTCCTGTGTTCCAAATGCAGAGGCCCAATTTAATAATGTCTGTCCAACATCATCCATGAAATTCACTTCAAATCCTGAAGAAATAAAACAATGAAACAGACAAATATTTCAAACTCTGGTGACTGCTTCTGATATTAACGCCTTAGATTCTGAAGGCTTATTGATACATTGTTAAATATAACTAAAATAACAATTAAATCAGACAACAATTTTCATTTATACTGAATTTCTTTAAATTCAATCTTATGATTAATTGGTTATGTTGGAGCAACACAAATGCCTCGACTGGCAATATTTAAGTCTGAAACTTTCTGACATCTTGTTTTTTAAATCTTCAATGGAGTTAGACAAGGCTCTAATTCTGGTAATATAATGTTATGTTTTTGTGAAATTTCTTGAAGTTAAATTGCTACACATCTGGCAAATCTCAATTGACTACAACCAAATATGGACATGACCTGTATGATATCATAACAGTGTCTGTAATAAGCCTGTAGACTTTACTTTAATGTTCCTGTTTATAATGCCCAGGCATTTCATAAATTACTACCATTTTTGAGGTAAACCCAGTTGACCTAGTACCAATTGATTATAGGCCAAATTACATCCTATATGGTGCATATTGATATCTCTGTAATTAGTAACACATTAGTGTAATACCGAACAAGAAATCAAAGCAAACAACAGCTCCTTCTATTTTCTACGGAGGCCCTGTCACCATTTACAGATGTGGGGTCCCTACCATCACCTACGTAATGTAATTATTGTAGTTCTCATATCTAGTTACATAATCAATGGAAGTGTTACCTACCATGTGTATAGGTGCATCCCAGTTATTTAAATTATCTATGGGTGCATTACAGGAACCTAAATACTATCCATAGAATCTATGTGAGCATTATGGAAGCTCTCATGATATCTACAGAATTTATGTGAGCATTATAGTGATATCTACAGAATCTAGCATTATCTACAGAATTTATGCATTATGGAAGCTCTAATGATATCTACAGAATTTATGTGAGCATTATAGAAGCTCTAATGATATCTACAGAATTTATGTGAGCATTATAGAAGCTCTAATGATATCTACAGAATTTATGTGAGCATTATGGAAGCTCTAATGATATCTGCAGGATCTATGGGAGCATTATGGAAGCTCTAATGATATCTACAGAATCTATGTGATCATTATGGGTGACATAATAAATACTATGTACAGAGGCTACAAGAGCATTCCAGGAGCCAGAATGCTATCTACAAAATTATTGGGAGCATAATGGGAGCCCTTACGATATCTACAGAATCTATGTGAGCATTATGGAAGCTCTAATGATATCTACAGGATCTATGGGAGCATTATGGAAGCTCTAATGATATCTACAGAATCTAAGTGAGCATTATGGGAGCTCTAATGATATCTACAGGATCTATGTAAGCATTATGGAAGCTCTAATGATACCTACAGGATCTATGTGAGCATTATGGGAGCCCTAATGATATCTACAGGATCTATTGGCACATTATGGATGGAAGCCAAATGCTGCTATCTTCACCATCTATAGACCCTTACCATTATCTACAGCATCTATGAGAGCATCTGTGTCTTTACTACGTATACAGTCAATGAGTTGGCGATGGGACCTCTCCCCTGAGCTGTCTGTACGACGCAGTCCAGAGATTCGACTAGTGATACTGGATACTCCTGCCTTTGGTAAGGCTTTCCTCCCTTCAAACAATAATACCAGTAACAGGTCCACTAAACGCATAGTATCCAGGCAGCATCTGTAACACAGTCAGTCACACTATAGTCCAGATCAACATATCAGGGTATTAATTAGTTACCACATTTTAGGCTCACACTCTATTTCATTTTGATAATTGAAATCCTTGTTTTCATACACTTAGAATTCTCAATTGGCTATTAGCTTTTTTCCTGTGTGCTGATTTAACTCTCATGCTATATCTTAACTGCTTATCAAATAATTACATCTGATTTCTGAAAAAAATCTCAGCCTGACCATCTTGACATCTAGTAAAAATGTGCTTAGGATGGTAGACAAAAATGAAAGTTTGGATTCAAGACTAAGAAAGTTTATGTCTGAAATTTCTTTTTTGTTCTGGTAATCCATAGATAAGTTCCACACCCAAAATAGGTCTTTCCCTCTTGATTTCATTACGAGTGTGTGAAGCATTTCTAATAAAAATCTACAAATTACTGGCATAAAATGTGTTTATAAACACTAATTACATGTTACAAAATATTCCTATGTGATTTAAAGATACATGTGTAATTCAAACATTTTCTAGCTTTGCACGTCTTTCTTTTCTTTCTTACCTCTCATCTCCCTTAAGTCCACTTTCTACTGCGTCTGGCAGTTTTGACCTAAGGAGATCGTGGGTGATGCTGGGTGAACCGCGACAGAGTGTGGATAGCAGGCTGATCACAGTTGATATACTTGGACTGGATTTAGACTCAGCCGTAATACTGACAGTACCAGGTGTAGTTGATACAGATGCATTGTGGCTTGACTCGCCAGCCTTCTGGAGACGAAGCAGCAACTCTGCGATAAGACCATGTTGTGACAAAGGAGATGGGTCCACTCCACGGCGTGTAAACCGATCAGCCAGAGAAGCAAAACACCGTAGAGAGCCATCAGCAACCTGTGTACATGGGTTTCAATAATATCATAAACCAAATATATCTAGTACATACAAGCAATAATTTTCCACACTGTTTAAGACACATCATCAAAAATCTTCATGAACATATCTTGTGAAATACATGTATCTATAATGCTTTCATACTGCCAATGCCTACTGCCACATTTCAAACAATGTGAGTGTAATTCTATTTTTGGTCTCTATTAAAAATAATTATGATGTAATTAATGAGTAAAAATACTCAGTTTCTATCAATCTTGATGTGTGTATATCTAACACTCAACAGGAAGGTAAATTGGCTGTAATTATATATAAATACTTACAAACTGGTCCTCATGCTCCAAAAGTGTAGACAAGGACACAACACACACCTCCAAAGAGGCATCCTGGGGTTCCATCTTACCACAGAGCCTGGATACCACAGACATGGAGGAGTGCAATGTGTCCTTGTGTACTTGAAACCCATGCTGCTGGATAAACATTAGGACACAATTCAGGCCACCCGAGTCAAACACTGCTCCAGACTCCCTCGTACAGATCCGCTCCAGTACCTGTACATAACATAACCTTATCTTAATGTCAAACTTAGAGGAAAAATATCCACAAGTTTCAATCAGTTGCTCAACAAAAACAAAGTGAGCAGGGGTTCACACACCATTCTTTTCTTTACCTTGTATACCTGCATTTTAATTTGCAAAATGGTCAAATAGTCCTTGACCTTTAAACTTGACCAATAACTACCAAAAATTGATCCAGTGTAGGGGGGTTGGGGCGAGGGTGTAATGATAACTGACCAATTTACTATGTACATGTTCAGTTGACTCTATGTTAAGTAAGTTACAGGAACCAGACATTTTCAAAATAATTAGAGTATACAGGTGATAAGAATGGTATATTGTAATAAAATACAACTATGCTAAAACATTACCAAAACAGATCAAAAATTGTACTGAAGTTTTGCTGTTACTATGCGAGAACCTGACTACAAATTATGACTGCTTGTTGCTACATATCTCTCCATATGAATTTGTTTTTTACTTTACAATGAAAGGAAAATGAAATTGAGTCCTACCTTGATGCACTGTTCAGCAAGGTCCCGACTGGTGCGAGAGGACATCTCCACAACAACCAATCTGTTACATAGGGCCTTGATAGCACCATCAACAGCCACAATGCGACGGGTACACTCGGCGGAGACATCTAGGTAATATGTGATTGCCCTTGCAGTCACCTCTAGTACATTGTCAGGCGCACATTCATCCAAGAAGATCCTGCAGAGTGCTGGCAAGAAGGTCCTTGGGGGGCAGCTAGGGAGAAAATTATTGGAATATGACATATACACTTTTATTTGTTTTCTGACACTGACCAAAATGTCTTTCTGATAACAAGAATTTTATGGGCCTGCTATATATCGTTTAATCAAAATCTGATTACCCCAGTCATCTGTTTATAGAAAACTGTACACAAAATGATTATAATAGAGACAATTAATCAGGACTCAAACTGAAATTTATGGAAAGAATTATTGCAAATTCCTAAAATCCATCAAAATTTAACTGTTTAACCTAAATGTATTCCTGATCTGTATTTAACCGTATACAGAATGTTACGATCCTATTGTGATAGCTTTATAATTTACTGTTCATTATAGTTTACATATGTATTTTCAAGAAACTGATTTAAACAACAAAGTCTCAAAGCAAAGCACACAATACTTAAGAAAATACATAACTGTGTAAAAAATTGAAAAGCAATGGAAAATTCACAAATGAAATAATTATATTATACATTTTACCAAAGGTAATACTTATCAAATTTTGAAATCCTTATGGTAGAAAGGAGCAATTATTGACTGAAAACACCATTCTTTTATTATTGGGTAGGTTATTCTTGCAATCAGCCAGATTTTGTGAAAGTAATGGCATACACAATCACAATAAGGCAACGATGAAGTGATTTGTAATGCTGTGAACTGGAATGTTCAACTACCAGTAAGATATAGCATATATTACATAATAACTGGATCCAAACAGATCTATACATGTAGCAGGTGAAACTCTAGCTAGGGCAACTGTATCCTGTTCACACGTGTCAGTCTTAGTCATGCTGTGATCTGCTAATAATCAGCTTTCAGTGTGTTTTGGGAAGATTGCTTTGTATATGGTTTCGCAAATCTAAACTAAACTAATAACAGACACCAAACCATAAACAGTCCTGACAAGGATTAGTCACACCTCTATAGAATTCATTGTTTATTACTAAGCTTATGCGTATACAAAACACTAGCAACACAATCAAATCTCAACCTTAACATGAAATACATAAAATTGGTGCTGTATGATGTTCTACACTATGTCTCTAGCTCTATTTATAGGCATATCAGTCTGGTGTACTACACCATGTCTCTAGTGGTATTTATAGGCATAACAGTATGGTGTACTACACCATGTCTCTAGCAGTATTTATAGGCATAACAGTTTGGTGTTCTACACCATGTCTCTAGCTCTATTTATAGGCATATCAGTATGGTGTACTACACAATGTCTCTAGTGGTATTTATAGGCATAACAGTATGGTGTACTACACCATGTCTCTAGCAGTATTTATAGGCATAACAGTATGGTGTTCTACACCATGTCCCTAGCTCTATAGGCATAACAGTATGGTGTACTACACTATGTCTCTAGCAGTATTTATAGGCATATCAGTATGGTGTACTACACAATGTCTCAAGTGGTATCTAGAGGCATATCAGTATGGTGTACTATACCATGTCTCTAGCTCTATTTATAGGCATATCAGTATGGTGTACTACACAATGTCTCTAGCTCTATTTATAGGCATATCAGTATGGTGTACTATACCATGTCTCTAGCTCTATTTATAGGCATATCAGTATGGTGTACTACACAATGTCTCTAGCTCTATTTATAGGCATAACAGTATGGTGTACTACACCATGTCTCTAGCTCTATTTATAGGCATATCAGTATGGTGTACTACACAATGTCTCTAGCTCTATTTATAGGCATATCAGTCTGGTGTACTACACCATGTCTCTAGCTCTATTTATAGGCATATCAGTATGGTGTACTACACAATGTCTCTAGCTCTATTTATAGGCATATCAGTATGGTGTACTACACAATGTCTCTAGCTCTATTTATAGGCATATCAGTTTGGCATTGCAGATATGTATAACAAGAAATGATCAGGCTTATGTTTACATCTGTCAGTACCAATAACCATAAGAAAGTCTATATACCCAAGTATGTAAAAATAAAATGAGAAAGTTATAGTCATGATGATGTGTAGCAACACAAACAAAAATTAATTAATCTTTAGTTCCTGAGTCTGATGGACCAAGCAGTGATGTGTACAGCAATGACTTACAATATTCATTAGTTTTCAAACACACAAAAAACCAAACGTTCACAATCAATTGTAACAAATTTCTTCTTGGTGCAGATCATTGTCCTCAGAGTCACAGTAATCAGCATACAGAACTGATAAATATATGTACCATATGAAATACCCTGTATAATGTTACATAATGAAATGATACTATAATCAATTTTAAAGTACTGCTCATTTGCAGAGTCACTTTTGTATGTGTGTGTTTCAATATTATTTTATGACATTTGACTTCAGACATATATTTCAGAGAAACCCATATTATTGTTGATATAGGTCAATATTTTAACTTACAGCGGTGTCATTTGAATATCCCCCCCCCCAACTTTTCTGGGCGGGGAATAATTAGTGTCACCTGATTCAAGTTAATTCTCTCTGACCGCTACACTTAGGAGTTCACTTCCTATATAATAAACAGTGGACCATTGATCAGGACCAGGCTCTGGTAAACGGTCAGTTAAGATGAGGTCATTATACAGATAATCAAATAGTTATTACAATGTTTTTACTACCTATTCGACCAAATAAATCAAACACAAAAATGGATTGAAAAAAGAGCTTCATGATGTAACAATTTGTAAAAATCCTTCAATCAATGCCAATAATTTAATCATATTGGTCCTTAAAAATACTTAGTTGGCATCCTGAGTAAAAAATCAGATCAAAGAAGTATTGCACTCACTGAAAAGTTAACTAAAGTTACAAGCATGTTGAGTTATCCAATAAGAACGTGATAATGGTCAAACATGAAGTAGCTATACTTTTGCTAAATAGGATCAGATCTGGACAAATTTCTGGATTTGTGTCTGGTACAATTACTTTAAATGTATTTCACCATAAAAATAAAAAATTCAAATATCATGGACCATTTGATCTAAATCAAAACATTTTTCAATTCACGAAAGAATTTATTTCATTGATCCTTTTCTAGCTAGCCTATTTCTCACAATTTTTTAATAGAATGACAGCTTTAACTTTCATGAGATGATTAATATTTATTTTTGCTATATTTCAATTTAACAAATTTTTTCAGAGGTGTCATATTTGGAAATGCATATTCTTACTAACAGCCAAACACATAATCATAAATTTCAACATCTGTTCTGTTACATTGTGCGAGTTCAATGAATACTGAGAATTTAGATAAATCAATAAATTTCAACTTCATCCTGATCTATGATAGTTGAGTAAAGCACGCACTTCATCAACTTAAACTTATTTAAAAGTATTGATTAAATATACTTGAAAAGTTGGCAAGTATGGACCTGGTTGAGGAAAACCAGAAACTTGCTCTCTTCAACCTGTCAATGCTTTCACCATTTTATTATACCAATAAAATAGGGGAAATATCTTGAGCTAGAAAATAATTATAAAACATCGGTCATAATGGAAGTTGAGCCAAATGTCAATTTTATCCAGAGACATTTAATTGCAAAGAAAGCTGGAGTGCCATGTACAAATTTTTGGTATGTTCTGTAACAAGTTCACCCACCTTGTGTAAAAATCACCTGAGTGTTCAACACTAAAACACAGCTAAGCTAAATTTAAGCAAAAGTGGGGCTATATAAAGTAAGTGAAGTAGAGGTACATTAAATAATAATTATCCTCTATCATTTTCTATCATCTACACGGCAGCTGTAATATGTTTCAGTACTGTATACTCCAAGATCAATGTTACTGCGGCTGGGACCTGTATAACTGGTGTATACCTTCCTTCATCTATAATGTATGTTTTATAGCAGGTGATCCCACACAGCCTATAACATAGCTGTTACATGTTATATAATTGCTACCTGGCGGGGTCTACACTCCCATCTCTAAAACTATGTCATCAGACATATTTCTTTCTTAGGGGTTCATTCTCATATATGCAAAGTCGACTACATATTATCCTCCCTTTCTTCCACTTATCATACTCACTAATATACCTTTCTTGCACTCATCATACTCACTAATATACTTTACCTGTACTCATCATACTTACTTACATACCTTACCTGTACTCATCATACTTACTTACATACCTTACCTGTACTCATCATACTTACTTACATACCTTACCTGTACTCATCATACTTACTTACATACCTTACCTGTACTCATCATACTTACTTACATACCTTACCTGTACTCATCATACTTACTTACATACCTTACCTGTACTCATCATACTTACTTACATACCTTACCTGTACTCATCATACTTACTTACATACCTTACCTGTACTCATCATACTTACTTACATACCTTACCTGTACTCATCATACTTACTTACATACCTTACCTGTACTCATCATACTTACTTACATACCTTACCTGTACTCATCATACTTACTTACATACCTTACCTGTACTCATCATACTTACTTACATACCTTACCTGTACTCATCATACTTACTTACATACCTTACCTGTACTCATCATACTTACTTACATACCTTACTTGAACTCATCATACTTACTTACATACCTTACCTGTACTCATCATACTTACTTACATACCTTACCTGTACTCATCATACTTACTTACATACCTTACTTGATCTCATCATACTTGCTTATATATTATCATAAAAGTATTGCAGGTACTGCTCTTACAGTTATCAATTAAGTTCTGACCTTCTGATTATACAACCAACCCTGATATATGTTAGTACAAGAAAAACATGTCTGTCAAAGCAAATACTAACCCTAATAACTAAGAGGTGTTGACCTAACAATGTTGTAGTATGAAGTAGATGATGGTGAATGGCTTTCCAATACTGGGAGTTTTTAAACAATGATACCTTATCTTCTTGGCAGATGTTGATATCCTACCATGGATATTAAAGGGAATTCCTAAAAGTCAACTTTATCAGGACCTTGACTAAGTTAAGGATGCTCTATCAACTTTACACTATGTAAACAAAAATTCAAAAAGTCCTCATTTACGAACACAAGAACAACCTAGGTTCCATAGCACTAACCGAGCCATTCAGTGTCCTTAACTTACACTCTGAATGGTCCATACTGACTTGTGAAAAGTCTTGTGTCTTGACTCAATCTAGTAAACTCTATGTGAATGCTCTATTGCTATTATCCCTACCGAGATAAGTAGAGATGACCTGAACATTCAACTTCTACCCTTGAAATGATACTTTCGTGAACATATGGCAGTATTACATATCTATGGTGTGAAGTTTCACTAGGTCATGGCATTGACTTTCCAACCATGTCCTATATCCATTCATTTTATTACAGATAGATTCTATGAATCCTTAGAAGGTAAACTTTATCCATAGAATCAGATTACAAAATTATTAGAACATATTTTTCAGTCCTGGATGTATAGAGTGGTTGTATCATGTTAGTCAGATATAATTTACTGCCTTTGTTAGGAGAATATCTATTTACATAACAAGTTCAGTGAGTAATGCCTTTGTTATCAGGTTCACTGTTTATATACATGTACTATACATGGCCAGATGGTAGTGCATCCTTTGTTAAAACACAGCTGGATAACAGCCAAACTGGCAAAGAGAGCAATGCACTCTTTTCAGGGTCATTATCAACATACATTCCCTTCTGAACTATATTACTTAAGATACTTTGTAAAGTATATTCCCTCTAAATGTCTATTCTACTTGTGATAATACACTAAACAATATACCCCCCACAAGTCCACTTCCTCTAAAAGTCTATTCTACTTGTGATAATACACTGAACAATATACCCCCCCACAAGTCTATTTTACTGATGATAATAAATTGTTCAGTACACTTCCTCTAAAAGTCTATTCTACTTGTGATAATATACTGAACAATATACCCCCCCCACCCAAAGTTTATTTCACTAATGATAATACATTGTACAGTATATTCCCTCTTAAAGTCTATTCTACTTGTGATAATACAATGAACAATATATATCCCCTTTACAAGTATATTTTACTGTATGATGATTAAGGGTGACTTGTAATACCAAAAAAGCTATCACTGTAGTATTGTTATAGTAACAATTACTATTGCAATATCATTGCGAGGCAAGTGACTTTTGTAATACTACCCTGATAGTTATTTTACCTTTGAAATATGTTTAAAATCATTTCTAACCCAGAAGCAAAGCAAAATCACTAACCAATTAAATATATCAATGCTCAATTCAACAAAAGCTGAAAATAAAAAGCATTTATAATTTTCATACAATCAAGAAGATTGCACTGTGATATTTGTTGAACTTTGCTATATTTTAATGTTATTCATTTTATACATACACATGCTATTCTGTTACTTGTGAAACTCATACTCAGCCGGACTCAAGACTATTATTTTCATATAAGTCTTAATTTTGTAATAAATTTAGTATTATTCCTTGTTTTATGTTTTAAATGATGATTAATTTATTCAACAATCATATACTGTTTGGTTTTAACAGTAAGTTGGACACACTTCAAACATCATTAGCAGAGCTGTGTCGAAAAATATCATGTAACTTTAATAAAGGTATGATAATATACCTATGTACCAAAGAAGGTGTTTTTTACAAACGGTAGTTTGATTTAGATAAGTTTTATCACACTTCGTGTCATTAATTTCTACAAAACAAAAATGCTGCTCTGTCACTGATTTTTGCATCTTTCTCTGGAACAATTTTTGAAATACTGTACCTTCCCCTATGTTGTTTATCAAAATAGATCATTTCAATGATGAGTCTAAAAAACATCGCCCCGGAAGTAGAGAAGTCACCACATTAATTTATAGATTTAATTACATCTTATTGGAAACAATAACAATATAATACTTATTAAAGATATAAACTTTCATCGGTATAACAACTTGTATTTACAATTCTGTTTCCATTCTAACTAGGTGATCCATTGTGTCATTCTTATGTTTAGCACTACACCAATCCAGGACCCAAAGATGCTTTCATAAATAAAAGATGGCTTGCACCTCTTGGGCTATAACTCTGGGAAAAATCTTTTTTATTTAATTATAAAACTATCATTAACAATCCACAGTTGAACAAACTATCACGATAGTTATTGACTTGAAAATATGCTACAGACCTATTACAATACATTCAGTCGATCTATTGTTACACCCCCTCTACTATTCTATTTTGCTGTATGATGATACATTGAACAGTACACCCCCTTTGCAAGTCAATTTTAATGTATAATAATACACTGTACGATATATACACCCCTGCAAGTGTATTTTACTGTATGATGATACACTGTAAAAAATATATATTCCTTCAACAAGTCTATATATCTGTATGATGATATATATACCTTCTGTAGAAATCTGTATAACAGTATGATGAAGTACTCTACAGTATACTTCCTCGACAAGAATATTTTCTAAGATAAATATTTTAGTATGGATGTATCTCCTATATTACTGAGGGTACATCCCCTGTGCAAGTCTAGATTTGTATGAAAGAGTAATGAAAGCACCCTTTTTAACAAGCAGTCTCAAGCTAAATGCTAGTTACATGACCTGAACTTTCAACTTCTGCAATTACAAATGTTATCCATGGGTCAGACAATGGACATTTTAAGAATACATTCATATACTTGTGTCTTACAATGGCTGTCCATTGGGTTACATTGTGTAGTGTATGGTTTATCGAATTGTGCTTGCTTTTATAAAGCACTTAATGATCTATCATGACTTAAAATGTGTCAAACTGAAAGAGTTTAGGATATTTTTTCCTCGCACAAAAAAGGAAATGTTGGATTTTCATGGTATCCTCCCCAATCCAAGGTGGTTCCCAAATAATTAATTATGATGAAATGAGTTTGAAACATTTACCTTTCGAAAACCCTGTCAACATTGTCGGACATCAACAGCAACATACAGAGTTGCTCCAAGGCAATCAGCTGCATGTCTCTTTCGTCCCCCTGACCCATCTGAAGCCATTCCAACAGCGTTTCTGGGTCAACGTCCGCCATGTGTGTGGTTGGTTAAAGATTCAATCAAAACAATATGACGCTTTGTGTTTCAATTTTCTTCAACTATTTATCTTCTTACATCAAGGTTTCCTTTCAAGTACTGTTGGTTTTTGAGAGTGGATTGGTGATTTGTTTTGGACGAGAGGGTCATGACCCGATTCCTCCCATATAGGGTGGGAACGGGACAAGTCCCTTCTTTCCTCACGGATGATACTGTCTTTTCGAAATTCACACGCTCGACATCATCTGAAAAATGACATAAAACAAATTTATGGTTGGCATTAACAAATGTACCAATCAAACCAGAGATAATTAACTGTTTATGAGATAGTATAATGGATCTAAAAATAACACAAAAGAAAAACCTATATACAGTCAACTTTCCAGACACATTCAGGTAAGATGAGAAAATAGCGTATATACCACATTTTCGACCCGTTTACGTGGTAGTTTGTTGCCGATTCTTTTCATGATATGTTGTTATTGTAAACACGTTATTACTTACATAGCTCAATGTTTCTGATATGGAAAAAGTAGGGTAAAACCCAGTCACTTCTTTCTAGACACAGAATACAGGAAAAATTACAAATACAATGCCTCGTTTTCAATCATAGCGGAAACCTTCGGATTTCGAAATGAAAATAAAGGAGTTCCGAATGGAAAGCCGCGGGAAAAAGTTCTGGCCATTCAGGGACGTAAAATACAGTATATACGTCCCTGGTTCATCCAAGGAACACGAGCTAAATCTGTTTGATTCCCCATTTTCCCCCTAAAAGACCAATAGCAAGTCAGTACATTAATAAACAAAGTACCGCCCGAAATGTAGTAAATATCTCGACGTATCCGTCATTTGAAAAATATCTTTCAGATGAAGGATGCCGTGAAACTTTACTAAAAAGTCTACTTATTACTTATATAGCTTAATTTCTCATCAAGTGCAAATTATCGCTTTTTTACAAAGGCAGTATAGGCTTATTGCGACAAAGAATGTTTTGAATTTCTGATAAAACATGAACTGTGCACCTACGAGTTACCTCCCTTACCATGGATAAAAACTGTAGAGGTTGTTTCTGTTGCTGTGCTTTACTGTGATCAGAGACTGTGATATATACGTCTCTGACTGTGATAACTCCTAACTATAAGGAGATATTCAGGTCATCTTTATATTCAAACAGAATTCTCTCAAAGAAAGTATTAAGCTTTGCAATTTAATTTTGTATACTACAAGCTGACTATCAAAGATTTAGTAATCTGGTACATATTTATTTATTTACTTATTTTGTAATTTAATTTTACATCACAATCATGATTGTTATAAATGTAACTTTACAACAGTTAGGTGAATTTTACATCACAATCATGATTGTTATAAATGTAACTTTACAACAGTTAGGTGAATTTTACATCACAATCATGATTGTTATAAATGTAACTTTTCAACAGTTTGGTGAATTTAACATCACATTCATGATTGTTATAAATGTAACTTTTCAACAGTTCGGCGAACTTGACATTATATCATCACATTCCATCAATTTCTTCTACACGAGGCGTTGAGGACAGTTTAAACAAGACTTTTTCCTCGAGGCGTTGAGGACAGTTTAAACAAGGCTTTTTCCTCGAGGTTTGAGGACAGTTTAAACAAGGTTTTTTCCTCGAGGTTTGAGGACAGTTTAAACAAGGCTTTTTCCTCGAGGTCTGAGGACAGTTTAAACAAGGCTTTTTCCTCGAGGTTTGAGGACAGTTTAAACAAGGCTTTTTCCTCGAGGTCTGAGGACAGTTTAAACAAGGCTTTTTCCTCGAGGTTTGAGGACAGTTTAAACAAGGCTTTTTCCTCGAGGTTTGGGGACAGTTTAAACAAGGCTTTTCTTCGAGGTTTGGGGACAGTTTAAACAAGGCTTTTTTCCTCGAAGTTCGATGGATGCTTACTCCTTTTGCTAATAAAACTTCATTCCTCAGGGTGCGCGGCTATATTATTGTTTTTTAAAGAAACAGACCTTTACTGGGTCATATCAATTGTGTGATTTGGTGTTTGTGTCCGAAACTATCGAACCAAAATAGTTTGAACGGTATGGACAAGCCTGACTTTAAGAGATGTAGGTTAGTCACTTCTCCGCAAACATTTATGAGTCACCTTCTTCGTCTCATTTGGATTTTTTTCTCTTGCTATATGAAGTTCGACGTGTTCAATTTTCTCTATTCTGATTGTAAGAAAGAGCATTTTTGGAATTAGATTTTATGGTCGGTGTCACAGAATATGCTTACACTCCAGGAACGTGTGGTTTTATTATCTTTGTACTTATCAGTGGTATATCCGTTCTTATATTGCATTCGTTAATTATGAGCTCGATTTAACACCTTGGTTATACGTTGACTTTCCATTGCTGTACTACAGAGCGAATGCCGCTGCATTTGGGCAGTTCACGAGGATGGTTTTCAAGCTTTCCTAAAGAAGATTCGAACTCGGTACTGTCTGAGTTGCCAATCAGTACAGAACACCTTCCTCCTGTAATATCTTTTTTACCATTTCTTTCACGTTTTTGGAAATAGAGCGAAAACCAACAGCTGGACTTGTTACCGACAACACTTTCAGGTATCCCCTCACTAAAATATTATTATCCAAGAAGATACTCTACACAATAAAACCTCCGATATTCAAACTTCACGAAGCATACTGTATCATGGAGTCTAGGGGAAAGCCTTCACAGAATTTACTTTATCATTGAATCTAGGGGAACACCTTCACGAAGTATACTGTATCATGGAGTCTAGGGGAACACCTTCACGGAGTATACTCTATCTGGAGTCTAAGGGAACACCTTCAAGGAGTATACTGTATCATGGAGTCTAGGGGAACACCTTCACGAAGTATACTCTATCTGGAGTCTAAGGGAACACCTTCACGGAGTATACTGTATCATTTAGTCTAGGGGAACGGCTTCACGGAGTATACTGTATCATGGAGTCTAGGGGAACGCCTTCAAGGAGTATGCTGTATCATGGAGTCTAGGGGAACGCTTTCACGGAGTATACTGTATCATTGAGTCTAGGGGAAAACCTTCACGGAGTATACTGTATCATTGAGTCTAGGGGAACGGCTTCACGGAGTATACTGTATCATGGAGTCTAGAGGAACACCTTTACGGAGTATGCTGTATCATGGAGTATGCTGTATCATGGAGTCTAGGGGAACGCCTTCACGGAGTATACTGTATCATTGAGTCTAGGGGAAAACCTTCACGGAGTATACTGTATCATTGAGTCTAGGGGAACACCTTCACGGAGTATACTGTATCATGGAGTCTAGGGGAACGCCTTCAGGAGTATACTGTATCATGGAGTGTTCACAGAGTAAAATGTATCATGAAGTCTAGGGGAACGCCTTCAGGAGTATACTGTATCATTTAGTCTAGGGGAACACATTCACAGAGTTTACTCTATCATGGAGTGTAGAGGAACACCTTCACAGAGTATGCTGTATCATGGAGTCTAGGGGAACACCTTCACGGAGTATACTGTATCATGGAGTCTAAGGGAACACCTTCACGGAGTATGCTGTATCATGGAGTCTAGGGGAACGCCTTCAAGGAGTATGCTGTATCATGGAGTCTAGGGGAACGCCTTCACGGAGTATACTGTATCATTGAGTCTAGGGGAAAACCTTCACGGAGTATACTGTATCATTGAGTCTAGGGGAACGCCTTCACGGAGTATACTGTATCATGGAGTCTAGAGGAACACTTTCAGGAGTATACTGTATCATGGAGTCTAGAGGAACACCTTCACAGAGTAAAATGTATCATGAAGTCTAGGGGAACGCCTTCAGGGTATACTGTATCATGAAGTCTAGGGGAACACATTCACAGTGTTTACTCTATCATGGAGTGTAGAGGAACGCCTTCACGGAGTATGCTGTATCATGGAGTCTAGGGGAACGCCTTCACGGAGTATACTGTATCATTGAGTCTAGGGGAACGCCTTCACGGAGTATACTGTATCATGGAGTCTAGAGGAACACCTTCACGGAGTATGCTGTATCATGGAGTCTAGGGGAACACCTTCAAGGAGTATGCTGTATCATGGAGTCTAGGGGAACGCCTTCACGGAGTATACTGTATCACTGAGTGTAGGGGAAAACCTTCACGGAGTATACTGTATCATTGAGTCTAGGGGAACGCCTTCACGGAGTATACTGTATCATGGAGTCTAAGGGAACACATTCACCGAGTTTACTCTATCATGGAGTCTAGAGGAACACTTTCAGGAGTATACTGTATCATGGAGTCTAGAGGAACACTTTCACAGAATATAATGTATCATGGAGTCTAGGGGAACGCCTTCAGGAGTATACTGTATCATGAAGTCTAGGGGAACACATTCACAGAGTTTACTCTATCATGGAGTGTAGAGGAACGCCTTCACGGAGTATGCTGTATCATGGAGTCTAGGGGAACGCCTTCACGGAGTATACTGTATCATGTAGTCTAGTGGACACCTTTACAGAGTATACTGTATCATTGAGTCGAGGGGAACACCTTCACGGAGTATACTGTATCATGAAGTTTGGGGAACACATTCACAGAGTATGCTGTATCATTGAGTCTAGGGGAACACCTTCACGGAGTATACTCTATCATGGAGTCAAGAGGAACACTTTCAGGAGTATACTGTTTCATGGAGTGTAGGGGAACACCTTCACAGTGTATAATGTATCATTGAGTCTAGGGGAACGCCTTCACGGAGTATACTCTATCATGGAGTCAAGAGGAACACTTTCAGGAGTATACTGTTTCATGGAGTGTAGGGGAACACCTTCACAGTGTATAATGTATCATTGAGTCTAGGGGAACGCCTTCAGGAGTATACTGTATCATGGAGTCTAGGAGAACACCTTCAGGGGTATACTGGATTATGGAATCTAGGGGAACGCCTTCAGGATTGTACTGTATCATGGAGTCTAGAGGAAAACCTTCACAGAGTATAATGTATCATTGAGACTAGGAGAACACATTCACAGTGTTTAATCTATCGTGGAGTTAAGGGAACACTTTCACGGAGTATACTGTATCATGGAATCTAGAAGAACACCTTCATAGAGTATATTGTATCATGCAGTCTAGGGAAACACATTAACGGAGTATACTGTATAATGGAGTTTTGGGGACACCTTCACAGAGTATACTGTATCATTGAGTCTAGGGGAACACATTCACAGTGTTTAATTTATCGTGGAGTTAAGGGAACACCTTCACGGAGTATACTGTATCATGGAGTCTAGGGGAACACCTTCACGGAGTATGCTGTATTATGGAGTCTAGGGGAACGCCTTCACGGAGTATACTGTATCATGGAGTGTAGAGGAACGCCTTCACGGAGTATGCTGTATCATGGAGTCTAGGGGAACGCCTTCACGGAGTATACTGTATCATGGAGTCTATAGGCACGGAGTCTAGGGGAACACATTCATATAGTACGATAGGTCGTAAAGTACAGAGAAAACCTTCACGAAGTGTACTGAATTGTAGATTCTAAATTCTACGGTGTCTTAAGTGTCCAGATGAACACCTTCATGTAATATACTGTGCCGTATTGTCCAGAAGAACACCGCTCAGGAGAACACTTCCACGACATATTCTGAGTCATAGAGTCCAGAGGAACACCTGTTGTATATTGTGTCGCAAAATCCAGAGTGACAACTTTTAGGGGAACACTACAAACACGCACGCGAAGTTAACTGTGTCCTTAAGTCTACAGGAACTCAACGAAATATACTGTGTCATAAAGTATAGATGAACACATTCATCAAGTTTGCTATGTCGTCTTTATACGTAGAGTCCAAAGAAACACGAACAATAAGAGAAATACTGAAACTCCCAATGGGTTGTCGACATTGCTACAATGTTAGGATGTTCTAACCACGTATATTCTGTAGGGATTTTGTCCAGGCCAAGAGTAAGTAGAATATTCTGTTGTTAGTTCACTAGGTCACCGTTACTTGTTGGTCAGCCAAGGCACTTTTTAGTTTTGCTTAAGCAGTTAACATAACCCTTGATATCACTGGGTTACCTGATGGAATACACCCTACCCTTTGACATGTTATGGTTGTCCTTCCTCGCGTGCCATTATAAGGTTGTAGTCTGGCTATGATTTGAAATTCATTTGATTGAAGTTGTTGAATTATTAGCGTTTTTTTTCTTTGCATATCAGTGTTTCACGGAAGGCGATAATAGTGTCTTGTGACCAGCATTTAGCTTATAAATACATCATTTCAACTATTTATTAAGGTTATATACAGTGATCTCAATGTCCAAAGTGTTTGTCCGCACAGAAAAAAATTTTGACGTATTTGATGCTCGTTAGTTTGCCTGTTGGTTCAGTTGTTTTATACCTTGTTCTCATTTGAAAAAGTGACATTAATTACTTGGATTGACCAAGGTTTACGTGGCGGGTGTCGTGGATGAAGCAGAATACGCTTATTCTTTCGGAACACATGGTCTTATTCTCCTTGTACTTTTTCAGGGGTTTCCGTGTAAATCTTTCTTTTGTTCATATTTTGCTCTAGTTTTATGGAATTTGAGTTTGAATTATGATAATATTGACATGTTGGTATTTTCTTGACGTTTTTATAAGTGAAAAAACGTAAAAAAAATTACTGGCTATATAAACATGTCCTTAGTTGACCTGTAACATAGGCATGACGATGTCCATTACACCTAGGATGTACTTGACTGTACAGCAGAGAACACAATGAGGTCACGTGTCAACCTGTGCTCAGTGATTTAAGAAGTAACGAAAATATTACTTTTGATATACAATTAAATTAGGTATGGTCCATTCCAGCTGGAAATATGCTTGTCTTTGTTTATTTATCCTCCTAAAACTTTCACGTCCATTTATATACAACTTTATGTATGTTGAAGAAATCGGAGGCAGTATAGTAGATCTTTTGGTGATATGCAACGGAAAAGTGAGTATTCGATGTGTTTCCCATCAGTCAGGTGTTATAAAAAGATATTTTAATTACTTGTGTTCAAATCTCGAAAAGTGTCAAGGTCGATACAGGCCAACACTTGGTTGTCAAAAACAAGCGAAAGCAATGCAACATTTAAAAAACAAGCATTTTCACACATTTGACAAAATCCAACTGCTTTTGTAGTTTCTGGAGACCTCAGAAACAGAAACCTTGACAAAAGCAGGTGTATTTTGACATGGCTGGTATGGGAAGTCGTAGAAATTAACCAGGATATACACTTTTGTAAGTATTTCATTATTATTTCAAACCAACTTAACATGCATATTCACCACGTGATATGATATCTTGACTTATAAGTTACCTTATTGTAACCCTTGTAAATACTAGCCGCAAGAGAGAGAAATGCTCCTTAGAGCGAACGGTTGAGCGTCAAACCAGAAAGCCAGGGGTCCCGGGTTCGAATAGAATAGAAATTGGATGAGGTAGTATTTATTAGAACTTAAGATATCTTATATCGTATATCCGATCTTACCTGGATTTATAAAACATTAAATAATTGCAAACTCGTTTCGATATCTATATTTCATATTGAATAAGATTACTTGTCATTGACGAGAATAACTTTATTCTCTCCAAGAATCATTCAGAACGCTTCGGATTATGCGCTCGATGTCGGTAAGGAACAGCTACGCAACAATAACAGTGATAATACACTGTGTCCTCCTACCCGAACAGAACAATATTACAAAATCTTAATATTCTCAGAGCTGAAACATTGCAGCGAGACGATGTCGAGAAATGTATTGGGAAGACAAAACTGTGCCTTATCCTCGGTAATTGTTCGTGATCAAAAACCCTCCCATTGTGTTGAGGCCATGGTTTATCTTACTATACATGCGATCACTTCGTGACATTGCTGGATGATTTCTCAGTATATTTACATCATATCAGATATCTCATATAATTTAATGAGATATTTCATTTAATTGATTGAGATGTCATATATAATATATGAGGGTATATTAGGACATCTGTTGCAATTTCTAAATAATATATTATATATAATATACGATATCGTATGTATCATCTTATATATCCAAGTAAGTTATCTGATATAATATATATATAAAATGTATTCTATATTTGGAATACAATATTGAATACGTATGTTTGAATAGATGTTCACATGGCCTACAATGTATTAACACAACTGAAGTTATTTTACAAAGTCTCGCAGATTTTAATGTTACTACTGTTTAGAATGAATGTCATTAATATGATTACATTTGTACTTCAGTACGCAAAATTTATTATTGAAACCTTGAACTTTAGCCCTTTTTTGTATTGTATCACTTAGAGTCATCCCCCTTTTATATAACCTGTTACTGGGATCACAACTTTATATCGATATGAAGTGTCACTATAAATAACGAGCCCGACGGCGCGTAAAATATCCGGACAATAATACGATAGACACAACAGTTCTCAAGCCTCGCTGTCGAAACAAATCAGTGCCATACAATGTACCGAGTGTAACAGTACCACACCCACCGCTAGTGATGCGTCCAACACCCTTTTAAACACAGTTTTTTAATTGTTATTTGTGACGTGATTTAATTAACGAGAAATAAATAGGTGTAAGACAAGGACACTTCTTCAGGGTTTGGTAATGTCTACAGATAGTTATTGTTACAGATCACACTACGTCTTGGGGTAGGGGATGGGGAGGGGAGGGGGTGGTGTCTTTTATGGGACGTTCAATATCTTTATGTGAGATTTCAATGATTTTATCCTACCTTTATTATTTTCCTGTGTAAAAACCGAGGGAAAATATGTCTTATTGGACGTGTTCTAGAATAATGGTAGGAACGAGAACACTGAAAGTATATTACATATTGACGGGTGTCTTGAGGAATTACCGTTTTGGAATAAGAAACTTTGATTAAATTTTTGAATGAAATTAGAATATTTTTTATTCTGAAAAATCAAGAGATGAAAAGGAAATTAGTTTAAAACCGGGTTATTTTGAGTCAACATTTAAACTTTAAACAGTATGATTTTTACATGGGAAATGTTAAAAAAGCGATGAAATGTCCTACTTCAACGCTGTATACAGATCCTTTTCTTTGAAGTTATTAGATTTACAACTAGTTGTTTTTCTGTTGTTTTTCCTCTCTGTCTAAACAGGAGCAGGATAGTGGCACGGTGCTTTTAGATTAAACGCACTTCAACCCAAAAACTTTTTTTTTTTCACAATTGAAAATAGTAAAACAACTTAAACATCGTTTTAAAATTTGCCTACATAAGAAGTCCTGACCTAAACAATCTCATAAGATCATGATGTATCTAGAACTGTATTGCAGTTGTCCACTGTCACGGCGGTGATAGTCTGACAATGTAGAGGCAAGATTGGATCTCTCAGGGACCTGGCCGAAGAGTTTATAAAACAAACCTTACAAAATAGCACGTGATTGACGTATAATGTCTATTGAAAAAGTCAAACGAGTAACAACATTATCAATCAATCATTTAAATCGAACTATATCAGGAATCAGTCGTACAATCCACGCCAATGTCCACGGGAAACGACGCGTGAAGTCTTGGCTGATATAGTTGCATGAACGTCACACCCGATACCAATATACACCAAAAGTATACAGGTAGTATAAAGAGTGCACACCCCTGTATTAAACTTAAATATCAGTCATAGCAGATAACAACAATAGTTTAGCGGGTTCACATATTGTTCTTGTAATAATGCAGAGCTTCAACGGTATAATATACAGTTTTTATTTAATTGAGATGTGGCTATTTAAACTATGCTCACGACTGTTCTGTTGTCTCTGATTTAAAACACACATTTCCTGTACACATTATTTAACACAATTTAAATCGAGAGGTATATACACAGAATTTTAGTCCGTACGTATTACTAGATTGAACGATTAGCAGGGCGCTCTCATTGGTCCATAACTAACTCTCCGGGTACATACTGTTGGTGTAGATCATAGGGTCAATATTTCCGCAAGCTTCGACACAACGCATGACTTGTAGACGATCAACAATCGCTACGTCAAAATATACCTGATCGCGTGTGTACCCAGAAGAAATCAAAATACCACTTTGTAAAAGAAGACAAGAAAATATTTTGATAAGAAGAATAGGTACTGAAATATACCCTAATCTGGAAACATATGAAAGAACTGACACGTACGTAGCGACGAAATTCTGATTTAACTTCCCGACTAGTGCCAAATGCAGTAGTGCTTTTATTGGAATTCAGTTTTAAACGTACAACCAAACACATTCCGCAAAACATTGGATTGAAAATAGTAGTCACATTTTTGATTTCGTTATTGGCACGGAGTTTTAAGAACAGCAGTCTTGTGTACTTATGTATTTTGTTTGGGAAAGTTCTATATGATGTGCTGCTCTTAAAGTCACCAGAGTAAATATTCAGATATGTCTGATGATCAGAGCAGGGAAATCCTCACCTTTATCCGGGAGAGGGACGAGGCCCGGGCCAATTTGAAGAAGGTCGAGGACGAACTTCAGGATTACCAGTCTAAATTGTATGACGCTAACAACAAGATCGAGAGTCTCAAGAAATCCCTAGCCCAAGCTCAGGTATCTACTTCATCGTATCTGTAACGAGGACCAAGCTGTGAAGCTTCCGTCCACGGCTCTCTCTACTATAACGTTATCTATACAGTTACCCTATTTACCAATATCATTGTATTTACTTATTCTTAAAGTCTAAACTGATTTGTACTTTTTATTTTTCTGATAATATCCGTTTTGAAAAATTTCCATGGACAGAGAAAACTATGAAAATGAATTATCACATAGTAAATTGCATGTCATCAACTTACCAGCGTTAGGATCATTAGGTCGTTTAGCGCACTGTTGATGACAGTGTTCATGTGTGAGGTTGTACTAGGACAATTCTGCACAGTTCTTACATGAAGAATAATGAGTTTGACGAGTGTACCCAATGCATTAAAAAATACCTTCGAGAGAGACTACAATATTGTTTTATTGAAGTACATAACTAGTTAAGTGCCAGGAATCTCGCGTGTGTTCGTTGAAGCATCGAAACAATAACCTCAGTTGATGGAAATCAATTGCCTTGTTACTACAGTTTATAAATAATGAAAATTTTCTCTATATATCCGAGTCTGTATACAAACTAATGTAGAAACCTCTCTGTATTTCATACTCGGACCACAAACAGTTGTAACGTTGCGATTAGGAAACTAGGAATTAATAAAGTTAGAGATTTGTAAAAAGCATGTTCAGGATTACAAGATAGGAATATTTCTGTTCTTCAGCCTATAATCTTTACATCTCGCAGTTGATATTCAACGGTCTGTTCCCAGTATCACGAGTTCCGTGCATTTGATATACTCACAACACAGAGGTTCGAGAGATTAAAGTTGATGACAACTGACAGAAAGTTTAAAGGTTGCCACCATGATCCCACAGGGAAAATGTCCATTTCCATTTTGCGAAGGTGGCTAGACATGTATGTTTGTTAGCATGACTGGCTGTTCTGTCGTTGTTTACGTTGTTTTAATATGGGAACGTGAAATTAATTATTTAGCTTGTCCAGGAAGCAGAAATCGCTTAGCCTTCCCGAACACTCGGTCTTACTCTCCTTGAACTTTTCCAGGGGTCCTCGTGTCATTTTCCTTATTTTCCCCTTGATTCCCTTGAATGAAGTTTTAATTAAAACCTTGTTATTCAGTATTTTTTATAATGTATGTGTTATCCAGTTTTATGTGACACAAGAATTATTATGTCGTGCTCAGTAAACGAAATTTCTCATGGTTTTTCTAGAACACACAAGTTTTTTAAACGATTTGGTTAGGTCATAAAAACCTTTTGAGAGGTGTATTTATAGCACGCAAGTTTTTAAAACGATTTGTTAAGGAGACACAAACATTTTAAAGATAAATTTAGGACACAAAAGCTTTTTAAACGGTGTGTTTAGGACACAACATTTGCACAGATATAATTAGATAACAACGCCTACAGATTGACGATTTCGTGTCTTAGAGCTAGAATGTCAATATTAGTTCACGTAATGAGTGAACTATGGTGACATATCTCTATGATAGCAGATATGAGGTCATTTTATTGTTTTGAATCATGTGTAATTATCTTTCAGACATTTAAATTAACCCACCTGCCAGGTAGATGAGAAGTAGGTAACTTGTGGTAGTATTTTGGAGGGCTGTCAATTGTTACCATTGTAGTTGTATGTATTTATACAGGCCATTATGACAGACCGGACTTCAGATGATATGTCACACACGTGTGATATAATGAAGGCAGGTGCTATCAAATATACATAAAACATTGTATAATTATTTTGTATATAATTCCACTACCACATACCACCTATGATGCAGATATAGAAAATATTGACAACACTCAATTCAGATATATACACGTATCAAATCATGTGACTTAGAAAATCTTACGATTCTTAAACAATAAAATAAGGAATAATTTTGTACAAGAGGTGACCGTACAATCTACAAGGTGGTCGTTGGAAGGTATTGATTTGTCCTGTTTACACGATTGTGGTGTTATCAGTAGTTTAATCACCGGATCCTGTTTTATGAAATGGCTGTGTACAACAATGTCCACGAGTTGTTCCACTGAACCTCAGTAACTTTAATATATACCTAATCACTGTGTAACCACGAGTAAGACAAATATCACAAAGGAACCGTCAATATGACGGACAATTGCTCTAGACCACTGTCCGTGTGTGCGTGTGTACAGATACATTAGGGCCCTATCATCTGACATTGTACGATGTGAGAACCTTTGAAGTACCAACGAGTCATTGTCAATATGTTATTAACAACAACACCGTTAGATACCATTAAACAATAGTTCGTTGTTTGTACCCGTTTTAGGTCGAAATTCGATTCCAGTTTATAAATTCTGGTAAAGACCTGCAGACCAGTTTAATACTGTATTATACTGGCCAAGGTCAAACACAGGCTGTTAGAACCCTTAATAAGCTCAACTGCACAAGCGATAATCACGTAAAAACCATCTCGCACGCATGGGGTTAGAATCAATGTGGCACTGCTCATTGCTTCTCTACACTCATGAGAAACTCATACTTAATAGTTTCGTGAGAGTGAAACATTTGAAGTAACACTTGAATTTCTCATGTCAGCTAATGTACTATGGAAGCATCAGAATTTCAAGCCTGAGATAATGTAACATTATAATTCCCTGTCTGAGATAATGTAACATTATAATTCCCTGCCTGAGATAATGTAACATTATAATTCCCTGCCTGAGATAATGTAACATTATAATTCCCTGCCTGAGATAATGTAACATTATAATTCCCTGCCTGAGATAATGTAACATTATAATTCCCTGTCTGAGATAATGTAACATTATAATTCCCTGTCTGAGATAATGTAACATTATAATTCCCTGCCTGAGATATTGTAACATTATAATTCCCTGTCTGAGATATTGTAACATTATAATTCCCTGTCTGAGATATTGTAACATTATAATTCCCTGCCTGAGATATTGTAACATTATAATTCCCTGTCTGAGATAATGTAACATTATAATTCCCTGTCTGAGATATTGTAACATTATAATTCCCTGAGATATTGTAACATTATAATTCCCTGTCTGAGATAATGTAACATTATAATTCCCTGCCTGAGATATTGTAACATTATAATTCCCTGTCTGAGATATTGTAACATTATAATTCCCTGTCTGAGATATTGTAACATTATAATTCCCTGTCTGAGATAATGTAACATTATAATTCCCTGTCTGAGATAATGTAACATTATAATTCCCTGTCTGAGATAATGTAACATTATAATTCCCATTCTGAGCTAATGTAACGTCAGAAATCTCAGTCTGAGCTTATGTCGCTTTAGAACTCCAAGTCTCACCTGAAGTAACATGAGAGTCTCCGTATCAACGAATCAACTGTCTCAGATTCATTGGTGCTGATTTTGAATTTTCTCTTAGCCTGTATTATAGTATTAGCAGTAACTTTATTTCTATCAGACAGACTCAAGAGATTGTCTTCAATAGAAAAACAAGATAATTCAAACTACAAATATATGAAGCAATGGCAAAAACAAAAACAAAACAAACAAATGAATTACCAAATAGACCTTACGAAATGGACAAGGAGAATAACACTAGGTGTTCTGAGATAGGGTAAGCATCTTCTGCATTATCAACGACACCTGCCGTGTAAATCTCGGTCAGTTCAAGTAAGTAATGTCACATTCCCAAATGTAAACAAGGCAATGAATTCACGAGACTTGGTAACACTCTTGGAAGACACCTAACTCTATATTGCACAAGGAAATATGGCACCTGGTATTTCCCAGCGAAATCATGGTGCCGAACATTAACTTCCCCGTAGTTTCTGCCAACCTACATCTCTCGTATCACCTGTACTATAAATTTATATACAGCGTGTTCTAATGATATTATAGAGGTATACATGGTATTAAAAGATAATTTAAATTGTCCTTTTTGTTTCAAATCTAGGTTTCCCTTTATTGCCATTTATTGTGATAACTATATCTCCATGTACCGAACACTAACATTTTCTAATTGTCAGACAATATCCAACACCTCGTTTTAAGATTCCGTATGTAACCTCCTTTCCTCAGTAATAATATTCCATCACCCAAACTGATGGAGTTTACATTCAGTTTCTCCTCCCAGACTTACACTGAGAAGACCTGGTTTTATAAAGGAAATCGTTCATTTTTCGCTGACGATATACCCCAGGCGTCAATTTTTATTTCCAATTTAGATTACGATACACCGATTGTAAATAACCATTTGTAACTTGGTTTTAATTCTATGTGATCCATGTCTGTTGACGATGAAATATTTCTGTCGTCAAAACCAACAACGCAAATATCGACATGTCAAAAGATAAAAAAAAGTCTTATGCTTCATCTACGACATCCGTCAATCAAATCTTCGTAAATCCAAGTGAGTAATGTAACTTTCCTAAATGAGAACAAATTAGATAACAACGGAACCACTAGACATACTAACGAGCATCAAACACGTCCAACTCGTTACCTACGTAACGTTAGTTCTCGGACAATAGATTTGCCATTAGGCAGCATTTACCTGAAAACCTGATAAGATGGAACACTGTGATAAAAATTCATATTCTCTGTTTACAGAAAGCTTCCGGCAATACTGGTCAAAAAGGAGCACCGGCTAAGGCTGCCCCAGCCGCAGCCAAGGGCAAAGCGGCTAAAGGCGGGGCGGATAAGGCGAAAGCCAAGTCCTCAGCAACATCCACCCCTAATGATACTCCAGCTCCTACCCCTCCTCCAGCTGCACGCGCCCAAACTGCAGTACGTCACCCACCGATACTAGGCAAAGAAGAACTTTCAGAAGATACCTATGGATATTACACCGTGAGTTTGTGTGAATATATGTCACAAAATGTTCTATGCGTTGAACTAACAGATCCAGGGATCATTTTATGTATCTGGTCTGTGTAAGTATATATCTTATTGCGATAATCCAATTTAATAGTATATGTGATAGCACACACACACACACACCAATACACAATTGTTGTTATTGGGTGTGTCGTTTAATTATCAACTTTTCTTTAATCCTTTATTTATCTGGAGTGATTAATCTGATAATCTGCCCATAAAATCTGAGCATAAATACAACTAGCAATGGTAGGTAGGTTATCGATGAGAAACATCTTACCTTTTGTATGGAAAAACGTGTGTGAACATCACATACATATATATCACCGGGATGTTTTAATTATATATTGTTCGAGTACGCATGGATCTCACTTCAGTATTATAATGATATTTTTACTTTTTCCTGATCCGTTTGATGAATATTTTCTGTGTTTTATATTTCCTTGTTTATATTGCTATTTTGGCGTTAATAAGCATGCTTATCTCCCTTTAAAATAGAATGCCACCGTTATATAAAAATGCAAATGGAAGACGATAGTCGATGAAACGAGCACAAATGAAAAGTTTTACACATGAAATGGTTCCTCGAGAATACGAAGCCATTAGAAGTTTACTAAACAATCATAGAATAAGTCGACTGTTTCTTATTGAATGGCAGGGACACAATAAACAATACGCTTTTATAACTACAAAAAAGTGTTTTTAAATTGTTGTTTTATTTGTCAGATTCTATCGAGGAAATCGAGATATTGTGAAAAGATATTGAATCAACTTCGACATGTAAATACCAATGTTTGATCAGTTAGAAACAATATGCTAATCCACAAAAGTATCATTATAATACTTCATTTTTTGAGAATGACAAAATGAAGCCCTGTTTCACAACTTATGAATCTATCATTGCCGATTATACCTGCCAACCCTGTACCGCCTTGTATTATGTACCTGGTGTTAACTTCAGGCAGCCTTACTGGTTACTAATTCATTGGATGTATAGTTATGTCATTATTCTGGACTGGCGAAGCATTTTCTCCTTATATATATCACTACTTGATAATTTGTAATATCGAGATATGTGACCAAACAAATCACACAAACAAGCAAACAAAAAAGAAACAAAATAACAATAACAACAAAAAAACAACAACTCGGATTTGTAATGAATAGCAATGTTTACACTGCTAACATTCCCTTTCAAATCAAGGTGAACAGTAGTAAAGATATATAGTTTTGAACTTTACTTAAGCTTTTTTGTGTGAAAATACTCCAAAAACAACGAATAAATATAGACGGAGGACGAAACAATAAAAACGAGTTTCTGGTTGACAAATATTTTCTTCGAGTTTCGTGGTTAGGTCCTTCAAAAGATTAACAGCATATCTAAGAGAACAAACTAAATTGTTTTTGTTTTCATACGACGCTGAATTCATCGAAGGGTTTGTTGAAACAGGTCACACAGACTTCAAAGTCCTTCGATTTCTCTATAGATATATTCATGACGTATGTGTCTTGTCTTTAAATAACAAAAAAATCATTATTGAACTTATCCTTCATATAATCCCACCAGAATTGGAAACCGTTTCTGGATAGCAACTTCCCTGAATCCCGAATGTTTGGTGTTTGAATGTTGCAGTTGATTTGATATTCTAAGGTCTGTTCTCATTATCACGATTTTCGTGTAAGATATCGGCAACTAACAAACTCGAAACACGTGGTTCAAAAGATGCAGGTCGGTGAATATTATAGGGAAGTTTTATGGTCGTCCTAATGATCCCATTGAGTAATATTCCATATCTTTGTGCGATGGGAGATGGACGTTGTTGTTAACCTTAATTGTTTGGGAGCATAACATTACTTAATAGGGTCGACTAGGATTTACATGACACGTGTCGTCAGTGAAGCAGAAGATGCTTGGTCTTCAAAACAACCTGGTCTTAATCTCCTTTTAATTTTTTTCGAGTTTCCGTGTAAATATTTCGTTTGTCACCTTCCATCCTTCTTTAATCCACATAAAAAGTTGCCCCTGTGTGACGCTGTAAATATGCCCGGATGAAATATTTAAGGTTACGATGATAATTTCTGTAGTGTATATTGATTTTTTTTTCCCAATTAGAAATAATAACAATGTTATATATATTTACTTAAAGCTTCATTTTAACTTTCAGATATTGGCAATTAATAGTATATACGTAATAAGTTTGATAACCGAAGTTTGTTTAATAATCATTGTTAATACTTTGTTTTGATGGGAGGGATTATCACAAAATATATTTTTTTGATAAACACGTTGTCGTTAATGCATTCACCATCCCAGAGTTAGGTATTTAAGTGAGAGAATTTGTCCAGAATTTAGAAGCCTGACTGTGGTGCACTCCTTGACAGGTGTTGAATATCAGAACTCACCAATGCTGATATGCCTGACAGTTGTATACAGACAGTGGTATTATTACCAGCACCACCTGGGAGTTAGTCAGGTCCTTTATCCTATCTCAGTGCAGTAATTGTCGATGAACTACATCGTGTTACAAGGGTCATTTCTTCTTCTCTCCAGTGCAGTATAATTATCTATTACATCAAACACACACAACGGTTTATACAATTCGGCTTAATTCTGGAATATATTACTTGTGCATTATGAGGAATGTGGGTGAAAGGTTGGATAACTTGCGAAATTAGATAATGCTTCTTACGCTCAAAGACAAATCAATGCATGGAGCAATAAATGACCGTTTATATAATACCTTTTATATCAAAGACTAATTGATACTTAAAAATACATGATCTAAGGGAAAGATACCTTAGTCAATGATATCAATTAAGTCAGCAACACATTATCTCTGAATTGGTCTTTAAAATCAAATAGAAATTAACATAGAATTAATCAAAACGGAGGTAAAACATTCCAACAAATGATATAGGATGAAATTATACGACGATACGTTTTTCATGAATTAATGTAAAACAAATGCAAACAAATATGATTGTTTAAAAGAAAAGTTGATACCGAATTGTAAATTAGTTCCAAGGAAAGGAAGACTGATAGGTGATTTATCAAAAATTTATCATAGATATATCGATAAAACTGATAGGTGGTTTATCAAAGATATATTATAGATACACCAATAGAACTGATAACTCATAAGAACTCAAATCTCCAGGACACGTCAGATCCGTCTTAGCTGTTTATCTTGATGTAACAACCAGGAATGTCCATAAATAGACTGTTTATACGTTATGACTTTGATACACCCACGATAAACGTTTGTATAGTAAATATCACACCAACTATTCGGGACTCGTAGGTGTTTCAAAGCTGGTTAGAATATTCCATTATAAATTTCAAAGCTGGCGACCAAGTCTTTACAAAGACGATACAGCTTGATATGGAGTAGGAAACTTTTCTAGCCGTCATCATCCTTGTGCGATGTGAACGATGCATGTTGCCATGTAGAGTTTTTACTTTGGTTTATAATTTTGCCCTGTTCTATCGCTTTGAGTCGGATTTACATTAACGTGTTGTTTTCACTTGCAATCTTTCATAAAATTCATTGAGTAAAAGTATATTTAGCGAAATATTTCTTTAAAATATTTTGCTTAGACTTAAATCATGGCCGTATACGCGCCAATGACCTGTTTTTATTAAACTTCATTTTCTTATCAAACTGCCAGTAAACGAATTTCATTTCTTGGAGAATACCTGTATAGGGCAGTGTTGATATCTTTTTATACAACAGTGCTGGGTCTGTAAGAACCATCATCATGTTGCTTTTTGTCCTTTTTAGGCGATAGGTGAAAAATTCCCAGCTTTACCACTGGCAATGGTTTTGAATGCAGAGAAGAAGTTCAACGAAGCCGACGTGAACGGAGATGGGGTGAGTTGAATCCGCCATTAATAGAAATCTGCAAAAAATTATTGAGTTATGGGGTTAGTGTACCTCCCCACATATGTTTGTGGCGTTGGTTTTGATTTCACAAATATACCTCCTATTTTTTCACACTTTAAGTCCCCAACATTACTGACGACTCAGCTTTATGATGCAGTTTGATGCATTATTTGGTATAAGCTGTTTGTGCTTTTCACATGTGTGTCTTTTGTACAATATTAACTCGGGAGTCATACAACTTAAATGCTTAGAGCTTAAGTTTTTTCCAGACTAGAAAATTAATTTTGATTATATCAATAAAATTTCTAATAATATACTTGCCGATTGATCCATTGCAGGTCGTTGATAAGGATGAAATAGACAACGTTTTGACCAAAACAGACGTGGCAATGTTTACACCTAAACAGGTAGAGGAGATCATCAAGGAGATCGACAAAGATGACACGGGTGACCTCGACTTCTGTGAAGTCCTCGCGGTAAGTCGAGTGCTCATGGACTCTTGGACATAATTTCTCACAAGAAAGACAAACGAGGGTCTCGACTAGAGTAATTTTACGATTATTTAAGAAGCATACTTCCTTACTAGGCAAACTACCTGCACCTACAATTATACGGCAAACGTTATATCCTTACACAAGAATTACCTTGATATTTCACAAACACAATAGTGACAAAGCTATTTCGAAGTATACTGTGTTCTTGTAATAGTTAAAATACTTAAACGAGAGTGATCAAATTCTTGGTGTTATCCTACTGTTGACCACACACAAAAACGGCAGACCTAGCCTTGTTGTATCATCTCTTAGTAAGTAGTACCATGAAATACAGGAAACCTTTATCAGAGTGAGTTATCAGAGACAATATAAAGCTTTTTTTAAATGCAATGATACAAGATATGCCAATGTAACTATAACTTTCCACAATCATCAGTACAAACGACATCTCAAAACAACACATTGATTACAACAACGATCAGCGACAAGTTTTCAGCTGTAGTAAAACTACAGAAGCTTAATTGCTGTGTAATAAATATTCTGACACATTATCCGAGGTAAATAAACAAAGAGATTGTGTTTGGTATAAGTCTATTTATATCCCGCGTTGTATAATATAAGATTTCTTATGAAAGAAATTAAGCAGATTAAAAAAAGTGTTTACGTTTCTCACTAGCAGGTATTGTAATTACAATTTAATGACTTTGTACAAAGTCAGATTATAACTGGCTTTAATTCCCTTTGTTTGTTTCGCTAAATCATATTTGTTTATAAAACGACCGTGTTCAGGTCAGCTCTCCAGCGAGTCATAAGTAAAATGCCAACTCGAATGAATTAGAGCAAAGATTTTCAGAACCAAAATTGATTTCTCGGCCAAGATTTTTTCAAAGCATGTTGAACAAGATCTATAACAACGAGTTCGGCGTTGACATCTAACAAATACAGAATTTCCACGAAGATAGCTTGTATTTGTTAGAAACAAGACAACTATAGAGAGCTGAAGCGAGTCCAAAGTAGACAGTTGTAGTAGGTCTCAAGTAGACAACAAAATGAAGTGGGTTCCGTGTAGACATCTGAAACGGGTCCTGTGTAGACAAATAAAGTGGGTTCCATATAGACAACGGAGAGGATTTCGTGTAAACAAAGTGGGTTGCATATTGACAACTGAGAGAGTCCTGTGTAAACAACTGTAGCGAATCCGATTTAGACAACTTAAGCAGGTCTCGAGTAGGCAACTGTAGCGAGTCCCATTAAGACAACTGTAGCGGGTCCCGTGTGGTAAAATAGAGTGGGTTTTCTATAGACAACAAATAGGGTCCCGTGCAGACAACTGTGGCTGATTTAGTGTTGATAATTATGACGGATCCCACGTAGACAACTGTAGCAGGTCGCATATAAACAACTTGAATGGGCCGAATGTAGAAAATGTATATAACTAAAGTGGGTTCCACGTAGACAACTGTGGCGGGTCCTATATAGGTAATGTGTATAATTAAAGTGGGTCACATAACGACAACTGTGGTGGGTTCAATGTAGACAATGGTGGCGGGTCCCATATAGGTAATGTATATAATTAAAGTGGGTCACATGAAGACAACTAAAGTGGGTTCAATGTAGACAATGGTGGCGGGTCCCATATAGGCAATGTATATAATTAAAGTGGGTCACATGACGACAACTGTGGTGGGTTCAATGTAGACAATGGTGGCGGGTCCCATATAGGTAATGTATATAATTAAAGTGGGTCACATGAAGACAACTAAAGTGGGTTCAATGTATGGTGGCGGGTCCCATAATGTATATAATTAAAGTGGGTCACATGAAGACAACTAAAGTGGGTTCAATGTAGACAATGGTGGCGGGTCCCATATAGGCAATGTATATAATTAAAGTGGGTCACATGACGACAACTGTGGTGGGTTCAATGTAGACAATGGTGGCGGGTCCCATATAGGTAATGTATATAATTAAAGTATATAAAGTGGGTTCAATGTAGACAATGGTGGCGGGTCCCATATAGGCAATGTATATAATTAAAGTGGGTCACATGACGACAACTGTGGTGGGTTCAATGTAGACAATGGTGGCGGGTTCCATATAGGTAATGTATATAATTAAAGTGGGTCACATAACGACAACTGTGGTGGGTTCAATGTAGACAATGGTGGCGGGTCCCATATAGGTAATGTATATAATTAAAGTGGGTCACATGAAGACAACTAAAGTGGGTTCAATGTAGACAATGGTGGCGCGTCCCATATAGGCAATGTATATAATTAAAGTGGGTCACATGACGACAACTGTGGTGGGTTCAATGTAGACAATGGTGGCGGGTCCCATATAGGCAAAGTATATAATTAAAGTGGGTCACATGACGACAACTGTGGTGGGTTCAATGTAGACAATGGTGGCGGGTCCCATATAGGCAATGTATATAATTAAAGTGGGTCACATGACGACAACTGTGGCGGGTCCCATATAGGCAATGTATATAATTAAAGTGGGTCAAATGTAGACAACTCTGATGGGTTCCATGCAGACAAAATTGAATAGGTTAAGAAAGCGTGTTCTCAAATGAAAATATTTTCTTTGCCCGAAATGTACTTCTGTTAAGAATACCCACATCTCCCAATATATTACTTATTTGAAATTGTTGCTTCCACAGGTTCTAGAGAAGATGGGAAGGCGCAGAAACTCAAAGCTACCGGCTGCAATCAACGACAACAAAGAAAAAGTCTGTGCAATTCAATGAAGATGAAATTTCTAGGGAAACTGAAATATTTAGGTAGCGGAGAGGCCTTGGTAGTCATTGTGTCATTGTGGTTTACTACTTCTCTGTCCAGAACACTTAGGAGAGAGTATATCAATGAGTTTTAAACACTAGAATTATGTAATGGATAAAAAGAAAAAAATAATTTCCTTTCATTTATTTTTCCTGTCCAACTTCGGTTTCATAATGCTGATAAATTATTATTTACATAAAAACTTACACACATTCGAAAAGCACCTGGTCAGAAATGTGTGGTTATTTACGCATTGTTTGTATATATTGTCCATGGAGCCTTAATAAATCATCTTATTTAAAAACATTGAAACTATTGTTATTATCTTTGTCATAATGACCAAGACATTCATATTTTTGTGAAAAAATGTTGATTTTTTAAAAAAAAATATAATGAAAATCACACAATAAAATAATGTATTTTACTCGAATACTTGTGAAGCGAGACACGTGGCAATTAATCAATGTTACGGAACTCTGCAGCGTCAATGCGATTGGATAAAGCATTCGTTGTCAGGACGTGTTTGTCTTTAATCAAGCGCCTTAGAATTTGTTTGTCCTATCAATGAAGAAATTCAGCATTCTTTCATCCATTTATTTTCATCACTTTACCTCTCCTAAAATCTTATGTTGTACAGAGTTTGTAAGTCAACCGTTAATTTTAATCGCTGAAATCATTACACGGAAAAGAACCATGAGAACCATACATAGAAAATGTGACACAGAGAAGTTAGTCATGAATACCATACATAGAAAATGTGACACAGAGAAGATAGCCATGAGTACCATACATAGAAAATGTGACACAGAGAAGTTAGCCATGAATACCATACATAGAAAATGTGACACAGAGAAGTTAGCCATGAGAACCAAACAAAGAAAATGTGACACAGAGAAGTTAGCCATGAATACCATACATAGAAAATGTGACAAAGAGAAGATAGTCACGAGTACCATACATAGAGATTGTGACACAGAGAAGATAGCCATGAGTACCATACATAGAAAATGTGACACAGAGAAGTTAGCCATGAATACCATACATAGAAAATGTGACACAGAGAAGATAGCCATGAGAACCATACATAGAAAATGTGACACAGAGAAGATAGCCATGAATACCATACATAGAAAATGTGACACAGAGAAAATAGCCATGAATATCATACATAGAAAATGTGACACAGAGAAGTTAGCCATGAATACCATACATAGAAAATGTGACACATAGAAGTCAGTCATGAATACCATACATAGAAAATGTGACACGGAGAAGATAGCCATGAGTACCATACATAGAAAATGTGACACATAGAAGTCAGTCATGAGTACCATACATAGAAAATGTGACACAGAGAAGATAGCCATGAGTACCATACATAGAAAATGTGACACAGAGAAGTTAGTCATGAATACCATACATAGAAAATGTGACACAGAGAAGTTAGCCATGAGAACCAAACATAGAAAATGTGACACAGAGAAAATAGCCATGAATATCATACATAGAAAATGTGACACAGAGAAGTTAGCGCTGAGTACCATACATAGAAAATGTGACACAGAGATGATAGCCATGAGAACTATACATAGAAAATGTGACACAAGAGAAGTTATTGTGATACAGAGAAGATAGCCATGAATAACATACATAGAAAATGTGACACAGAGAAAATAGCCATGGGTACCAGAGATAGAATCAAAGTACTGAAAGTACTGGTATGCTAAGACCATTAAAACAATAAATTCTTTGTTATTAGCTTGCTATATACTGAAAAAAACTATATGAAAGCAGTACATCATTGCAGCCCATAAAAAATGACCAGCAGATATCAGAAATAACAAGCATAGTAGTATTACTTATGTAATACATGTCCCAAGTAGGCTCCAAGATGATAGGGAAGTTGTCCATTTCTTTGGATACATTGTAGGGAATGTTGATCTTGGACACCATATTATCACTTTAAAGACTGCGTATCTTATTGGTTTAAGACCATTAGTTAGACCATCATGCAAATAACATGATACATACAAATATTGGGCAGCTTCATTTTCCAGATTGTTTGTAAATGACTGCATAAGAGTGCCAATTTTCTAAAACAAACATGATTTGTCACCATAACTTAAAATAGAAGATGCCTATTCTTCTGGAACACCTGGTCTTATTCTCCTTGTACTTTTTCAGGGAATCTTCAAGTAGATATTGTCTTTGTTTCAATTTTACACTTGTTTTGCTGGTTCTACAATTCTGTTGACATGTTTATATATTCTTTGTTCTCTAAAACTTGTCGCAAGATATTTTATTCCTCTTGTATGATCATTTTTTAACATCCTTACAGTGACCTTGAACCTTGAAATTTGCAAGATGTGAATATCTTTTAAGTTGTGAAATTTGAAAGAAGAATGAGGGTAATGCAAAGGAAAATACACCCATGCAACTATGTTTTTTGACTGTGACCTTGATCTCGGACATCTGACCCTGAATTTCTTAAGAAACTGAATTCTCATAAGGGATACATGTTCCAAATTTGATTAAGGTATACTAACTGTTTTAGTCTCAATGCGTTTACAAGGTAATCATATTGTACTTATGCAAGTACTGTGACCTCTACATTCAATCCTCAAAATCATTACTATATCCTCTCCACATTGCCCAGGGATAACTGAAACTGTAATCCAAATGATAATACCCCCAACACCCACAGCCTTAGCTATCTCCCCATGGTGACCTTTTGCACAGAAACATCCTCTGAAACACAGCAGCATGTGCACATGTTCCCTGACATTCCTGCGAAGTTTTGTTGAAATTGGTCCACAGGTTTGGAAGTTGACCAGTTGCCATGGCAATCAATATTTCGAGGAAAATGGTGCATGCACATCTACACATTGTCCCGAATATTACTGTAAAGTTTCATTGGAGTTGTCCAGACAACATGTGTCTACAGACAGAAAAAACAGATGGATGGACGGATAGACAACCTGATTCCAGTTTACCCACCTTTTGGTGGTATAAGAATGCACAAGAGTGCTTACAAATTCCATGTGGACAGGCATCACTGAAAAACAATAATAATAATAATAAAAACATGATAAAGATGCTTATATCTTGTTTTATTCAGTTTTTAGATACAGTATTCTTTCCATGCTTTGATCAGCAATGTAATCTTGTCATGTCAATATCCTAGTACAAGATTGCATACACAAAATTGTTGTAGGTAGACTTTTAAGATGAATAAAAAAAATACATGCCTACGTTTAAATGAAGGTTTTAAACAGAAGTCGTAATATGTTCAGTATGTTCAGTATACAGTGATTTTTCTAGACAGTTGTAAACTATAAACTCGGTATAAAGCGATCTTTTCTACACATTTGTAAACAACTCAGTATGCGGTGATCTTCTACAAAAAGTTTTTTTTTTATATATTGTATACACTAAACTCAGAAAAAAAATAAATAAGTAAACCTTTCTATGTACACTACAAACTCAGTATACAGTGATCCTTTCTACACAAACTTGGTATAACTAGTGAATCTTTCTACTCAAGTAAATTGAAGATTGTATACAAATTTACTACAAATGCAGTATACAAAGATCTTTTCCACATTTTTTTAGTTTCCGCGATTTGTTGATTCTTCTTTTGCGATGGTAAATATACTGCCGCCTTTAGAGAGTACTGTGATCTTAAAAGGCAACATGGTTGTTGGCATCTCCTCAAGTGAATTATCATCTTCAACATCTAATTGGAGGCCGGAAAGGATGTTTTTCTCCACCATAAGGTCCTCAAATCCATTGTTGGTCATAATGGCAAATTCCAAGTTAGAAGAATCAATAGAGATACCTTCTACCATTCCAGATTTCATTTCTTCAGGGACATCCACCTGCTGAAAAAGAGTATGGGAAATAAATAAATATTTCATTATTGCTATGATTATGTGCAAGAAATATACACTTCTGTATAAGCTTATAGTCTTGAACTTCCCAATAGGAGTCTATATTAAATATGCTGTAATTACTTATTTTGACGTTCAGGACTGTCAAATTATTAAGCGATGGACAGCTAGCAAAATAATAATATCTCGACCATGGTCATACAGAGATTGAATCATAAAGTTAAAATCTGTGCAGTATGATAATTTATTTTGACATTTGTATTTCAAAAATCATTTTGACTTGAAAAGTAATGTGTAATTTAATCAATTCAGTTTTTGTCTTTCTGACATGATGTTTCAATTAACATCTGAATCCCGGAAAGTGTTTTAATAAAGATTAGGATAAACCTAGCAAAGTGTTAGATCCCAGTGTGAATGTGTAAAGTGTAAGGTCCCAAAGTGTAAGGTCGTGTGAATGTGTAAAGTGTAATTGGTACAATTCTTATTATGCCTGAACTTTTAATATATGTACTGTATTTGTTCATCTCAGAAATTTCAGTATTATGTCAACTGCATCCTCTTTCAGTTCAACACTTTTGATTCATCAATTTTACACAGCCCTAGACTCAATATTTGTCATTAATTGTCGTCTGTTTTTTAGCGTTTTAGAGTTTTGTTTCAATAAGATGTCAATAATCAATGAAATTGATTAATTGAGAGGACATTTTCTTAGTACAGTTAACCAGGCTTTGTATTGGCTTGTTCAGAACTGTAGTTCTGGTTAAGTAACCATTAATTATGTCCTTTCAGCTACAATGACATACATTTTTGAAATACTTCTACTGTAGCTAAATGTGGCATTTGTAATAGACATAGCCAAAGTTAATTTTGTGATAGAAGTAGCCAAAGTTAATTTTAGGATCAGTTAGGACAGCTACTGTTTGTAACAGACATGGGTTCAATTACATGATGATGTAATTAATTAAATTTAAATTATGTTATGAAAATGGCATTGCCATTACAGGTATTTTCAAAATAATTAGATTACCATTACATGGCGGTCCAATGTAATTGATTAAATTACACATTACTTTTCAAGTCAAAATGATTTTTGAAATACAAATGTCAAAATAAATTATCATACTGCACAGATTTTAACTTTATGATTCAATCTCTGTATGACCATGGTCGAGATATTATTATTTTGCTAGCTGTCCATCGCTTAATAATTTGACAGTCCTGAACGTCAAAATAAGTAATTACAGTATATTTAATATAGACTCCTATTGGGAAGTTCAAGACTATAAGCTTATACAGAAGTGTATATTTCTTGCACATAATCATAGCAATAATGAAATATTTATTTATTTCCCATACTCTCTTTCAGCAGGTGGATGTCCCTGAAGAAATGAAATCTGGAATGGTAGAAGGTATCTCTATTGATTCTTCTAACTTGGAATTTGCCATTATGACCAACAATGGATTTGAGGACCTTATGGTGGAGAAAAACGTCCTTTCCGGCCTCCAATTAGATGTTGAAGATGATAATTCACTTGAGGAGATGCCAACAACCATGTTGCCTTTTAAGATCACAGTACTCTCTAAAGGCGGCAGTATGTTTACCATCGCAAAAGAAGAATCAACAAATCGCGGAAACTAAAAAAATGTGGAAAAGATCTTTGTATACTGCATTTGTAGTAAATTTGTATACAATCTTCAATTTACTTGAGTAGAAAGATTCACTAGTTATACCAAGTTTGTGTAGAAAGGATCACTGTATACTGAGTTTGTAGTGTACATAGAAAGGTTTACTTATTTATTTTTTTTCTGAGTTTAGTGTATACAATATATATAAAAAAAAACTTTTTGTAGAAGATCACCGCATACTGAGTTGTTTACAGATGTGTAGAAAAGATCGCTGTATACCGAGTTTATAGTTTACAACTGTCTAGAAAAATCACTGTATACTGAACATATTACGACTTCTGTTTAAAACCTTCATTTAAACGTAGGCATGTATTTTTTTTATTCATCTTAAAAGTCTACCTACAACAATTTTGTGTATGCAATCTTGTACTAGGATATTGACATGACAAGATTACATTGCTGATCAAAGCATGGAAAGAATACTGTATCTAAAAACTGAATAAAACAAGATATAAGCATCTTTATCATGTTTTTATTATTATTATTATTGTTTTTCAGTGATGCCTGTCCACATGGAATTTGTAAGCACTCTTGTGCATTCTTATACCACCAAAAGGTGGGTAAACTGGAATCAGGTTGTCTATCCGTCCATCCATCTGTTTTTTCTGTCTGTAGACACATGTTGTCTGGACAACTCCAATGAAACTTTACAGT